GACCGATCGAGCACGCCACTGTACACGCCGTTGCGACGAATGCAACTGCCGCACCATTCAAGGGGCGCTGCTTTGCTTGCAATAGGACGAGCCATCGTAAGAGTGAGTGTCCAGAAGAGCTAAGGCGCCGCGGAGCAGAGTAGGGGAGGGAGTCTCAGAGGCAGGGAAACGCCAGCAGTCAGTAGAAATTTGGCCGACTACTGACGAGACTGCCTGCTCGCCCAACCACACCGACCCTCACCGAGTCACAGTACCGATTCACGCTATCGATCGGACTCGGATGAATAAGGAGGGTACAGCGACAGATTGCCCAGTACTGATCCACGGGAAAATACAGGGAGCAGCAGTCAAGATTTTTATCGACGGAGGAGCTAGTCACAGTTTAGTTAATACCGCGACCGCACGAAAACTTCAACTGACACTAAGCCGGTGCTTACCTGAAATTGATGCACGCTTAGTCGACGGCACGCCGCTGGCCATACGGGAGAAGGTGGAGAGAGTAAAAGTTCGCTGCCGAGGGAACTTCGGGTTTACACTAGAAATGCTCGCGACGACACTGGATGGGCACGACATTTTACTAGGACGTGATTGGTTGCGACGTTACAATCCGAGAATCGACTGGACGACGGGCAGCTGCACCGTGCGAAGTAGTGGTAACTGGGTCGCACTACCACGCTGGCAGTCGCCTGAGTCATCGACGGTCCACGTCAACGCCATAACAATGAAACGGGCAGTCGCCGCTGGAGCTGACGTGTATGCAGTGGACATCGCAGTAGTAGGAAAAGATGAGCAGCCGAGTGATTTTCAGAAATTGCTGACAGCGGTACCGCCGGAACTACAGGAGCTATTGAAACGGTACCCGGGAATTTTCCCCGACGACTTACCGGAAGGACTGCCACCTCAGCGGGCGCACGACCATAGGATAGAGTTAGAGCCGGGGGCACAGCCAACTGTACAGCGCCAGTTCAGACTAACACAGCCGGAGCTCGACGAACTGAGGAAGCAGTTAGATTACCTGTTAGCGAAGCAGTTTATCCGACCGAGCTCGTCGCCGTTCGCCGCACAGATACTATTCACACCAAAAAAAGATGGAGGGTTTTGCATGTGCATCGATTACCGAGCGCTCAACAGGGTTACGGTGAAGTCACGATACCCCATTCCCCGCGCCGACGAACTGATCGACCAACTGCGAACAGCACGGGTGTTCTCGAAGATAGATTTACGGGGAGGTTACCACCAAATTAGAGTCGAACCATCGGACTGCGCCAAGACAGCTTTTAGGACTAGGTACGGGTCGTTCGAATATACCGTGATGCCTTTCGGACTGACCAACGCACCCGCAACAATCCAGATGACCATGAACGAGGCGTTTAGACCACTTTTAGATAAGTGCGTGATAGTCTACCTCGACGACATTCTCGTCTACAGCCGCGATAAGCAGCAGCATTTAGCGGACCTGGAAGCAGTGTTTAAAATTTTAGAGGAGCATCGTTTATTGACCAAGGGGTCTAAGTGCGAGTTTTTTCAGGATAGGTTAGAATTTTTGGGGCACGTTATTTCGGCGGCTGGGGTTGAGATTGACCCGAAGAAACTGAATACGGTCAAGGCTTGGCACCCCCCGACAAACATCACGAAGCTGCAGAGTTTTTTGGGTTTTGTTAATTACGTCCGTCGATTCGTCCCTGACATGGCACGCTTAACTGCCCCACTGACGGATCTGCTGCGGAAGGGGGTCGCTTTTACGCGGGGGGAGAAAGAGCATGCTGCCTTCTCTACCCTGAAAACTGTTCTCTGTTCACCGCCTGTCCTGCGCATTGCCGACCCACACCGCCCATTCGAAGTCATTACTGACGCAAGCGACATCGCCATCGGAGCCGTACTGCTACAGGATTTCGGGAACGGCCTACAGCCCATCGCATACGAATCACGAAAGCTGCACCCACCTGAGAAGAATTACCCGATACACGATCGCGAAATGCTTGCGATCGTGCATGCGTTCAAAGTGTGGCGCTGTTACTTGACCGGCGCAGACGTGACAGTACGGACAGACCACCGATCACTACAGTACCTCCGCGCACAACCCCACCTCAACCCACGACAGATCCGCTGGTTCGACTTTCTCGAGTCAAATTTCCATTACACGGTCACCTACAAAAAGGGAGCGTCCAACATTGCCGACGCACTGACCCGCCCCACTGCCCAAATCCACGCAATACTACTCGCCCAAACTAGCCCGCTACTGACAGGACTATTTACCCACGGGTATCAATCAGACCCATTCTTCACCGGAGGCAATTCGCAGCAGTTCGCAGCAGCACGAGGGGTCTATTACGTAAAAGCCGGGACCGACCGCATTTGGGTACCCGGGTATACACTACTACGGGAATTACTGTTACAGGAGGCACACGACGGAGTTACCTCGGGACATTTTGGAATAGAAAAAACACGGCAGCAGCTGCAGCGGTATTATTACTGGCCAGAAATGTTGACCTGTCAGAATCCCAACCACTAGACCATTGGGATAAAAGGGCTTGTTAAGTAGCGGGTCAGTGCGCCCATAACCCCCCAGGCCAACATGCCTGTAACCCTTCCCTAAGATCGATCGGGGATCACCAGTGGACCTCTGACACCCCCCCGCACTGGGATGCCCGAAGTGCATACACCGGGATTCGAACCCGAGACCTTCGCTCTGATACCATGTCAGAATCCCAACCACTAGACCATTGGGATAAAAGGGCTTGTTAAGTAGCGGGTCAGTGCGCCCATAACCCCCCAGGCCAACATGCCTGTAACCCTTCCCTAAGATCGATCGGGGATCACCAGTGGACCTCTGACATGACCGACATCCAACGACACGTAGCATCGTGCCCCACCTGCCAGGTCATGAAATCATCACGGAAGCGGCCGGCAGGACAGCTGCAGCCGATTCCACCCCCAGAGCGTGCTTGGCAGCAGGTGACGATGGATTTCGTCACGGGGTTACCGGCAGGGGCGAGTGGGAGCGATGCGATCCTAGTCGTCGTCGATCGACTGACGAAAATGGCACATTTCGCAGCATGCAAGAAATCAATTACAGCCGAAGAAACAGCCCGCCTCTTCATCGCCACCGTTGTTCGCCTCCACGGGATACCATCGGCAATTATCAGCGACCGCGACACGAAATTCACCAGCAACTTCTGGCGGAACCTGTGGCAGCAATTTGGTACACGACTACAGTTCAGTTCTTCGTATCACCCCGAAACGGACGGACAGACAGAACGGACAAACCAGACCATGGAGCAGCTCATCCGGGCCACGTGCGACGACCCGAACACGTGGGAACAGCAACTGCCACTCATTGAATTCGCGTACAACAACTCGCCCTCCGCCACGACCCAATAGTCACCGTTTTACCTGAACTACGGACAGGACCCAACAGTACCCATGACCCCAAATCCCGATAATCCAGTCCCACGAGCACAACAGTTCGCCGAGATTTTGCAAGCAGCACGGACCAGGGCAGCAGACGCAATTAAAAAAGCCAACATCATCGCTAAGCGCAACGCCGATCGCCACCGCCGACCTATCACTTACCAGCCAGATGACCTAGTACTACTCGATACTCAGAACCTCCGCCTGCCCATCACTCCAAAACTTCGCCCCCGATATTGTGGGCCATTTCGCATCAGCCACATGATCACACCCGTCACCGCCCACCTCCTCCTCCCTGCTGACTGGTACGTCAGCCCGTCATTCCACGTCAGCCTACTTCGCCCTTACATCCCATCCACGAGCCACCTGCCACGCAATCGCCCAGCCAGCATGACACGCCCCCCAACCGAACCAATCATCACCCCCGAAAAAATCCTCAGCCACCGAGTCCGCGATCCTCGGGGAGCCCGAAGAATCGAGTTTCTAATTCGCTGGAAGGACCGAACGCCCACAGAAGACAACTGGGTCCCCCTGGATAAAATCGAGAACCACCCTGTCTTCACCGAGTATCTGCGAAGCCGAAATTTCCGCGACATCCATGCGCTCTCGTAAGAGGGGCCTCCTTGGGGAGGGGGGTAGTGTAAGGAAAATTCCTTTTCCTTACTTCGCATCCCCGCTCAACGCGTACATCACTGTAGCACCTCAGTCAGCACCGTTACCATTCGCATCAATAAATCCGCCCGCCAATTTTCGCATGTCGCACCCCGACCTCACGGCTCGGCGGTAACCCGCGCTCCGGATCTCCGCCTCGACACTTTCCCAACCTCAGTCCCAGACCCGTCGCGCGACAACCACAGTCCATTACCGTTACCACCATAGTTTCGCTATATAATCCTTCGCTCATGCCTTCGCTCAGTTTGTACACTTGCTTCGATAGTGCAATCTTCGTTCGCTCACTCCATTGCACTCGTAACATAAATACAGAGAAAAGCAGAAGCAATATATTGAGGAAAGAAACTGGACGTAACAAGTTGACTGCACAAGACGGTTCAGAAAGAAAACGGCATTCTCTCCTACACCTCCCACACACAAAATGTGCATACAAAGCAACAGCCTTGCGAAAAGGGATGCCCATAACCAAATCCTATGCAGTGCTACACAAGCAGCTGTACTTATGCAGAGAGCAGGTGCTGCAACAGCTGCACACAGGGAATATAACCGTGCAGCAGCAGGTAGCAGAGGGATTGCTAGTGCGGCTGGCAGGGGCACAAAGGGGTGCAGGGATGAGCATCAGGGGTGCAGCAGAAGGGTTGCTGGTGGACTGTGTTAGCAGGGGGGTACCCTGCGGTGGAAAAAGGTTGTGATGGGTTTGACACGCAGTGGGGGGTGGGTGGTGGTGCTGCTGCCAGGAGCTGCTGGCTGTGCTGGCGGTGGTGTGGCTGGCGCTGCTGCTGCTGCTGCTGCTGCTGCTCCCGCAGTTGCTCCTTGTGCTGAAAGGAGGGTCCAATGAGGAATTGGGAAAAAGTTTGCTGTATTTGAAATTGTGTTTTGAGAACCTTCAAAAGCAACCAGGACTTGTGCGGTGTGTTTTAGACGGCTTGGAAACAAGCAGATTTGACAAGTGAGTCAGCAGCTGGAACAACTAGAGCAGCAAGAGCAGTAGCTGGGAAGAGTGAGGACGAAACATAGAGGGCAGGGGAAGAGAGGGGAGGAAGGGGTATGTGTGTGGGGGCTGTGGGGGAAAGGGGAAGGGGAAGGGAGGGGGAAGGGGGGAGGAGGGGGGAGGGGAAGAAAGTGGGCACAGCAGTTGAAAAGGGCAGCAAAGCTCACCAGAGGTAAGAGGTTTCACAGGAGTGGTTGTCAAATCACCCTTGGCCAGAGCCCCTGGCACTGCTGCTGCCCCAGGGGTTGTAAGCATGTGCCCTGCTATACCAGCAGATGCACAGGCACCACCACCGGCAGCAGCGACAGGCCTCTTAAAGCCATTGCCGGCACACACGCCAGAGTGAGGACTCATACACAGACCTGCACCCAGGGGCGTAAACTGAACCGGCCCTACAGCAGTTGCCACAGCTGCTGCTGTTGCTGTTGTTGCTGCGGCTTGTCCTTGTGGTGAAGATAACCAGGTTGGGTGCGGTGCAGAGGGGCGTCGGGGAGGTACAGGGAGTAGGATCTGGGTCGTGGTGCCCCACCCAACCGCTCGCCTCTTCCTCCTGTGCTGCACTTGTTGGTCATCCGCAGTAGCAGCACAGTCAATCGTCACACCCTCTCTGCTGCTCTTAGGCTCAGCACTAGCAAAGTCAGCACTATCCAACCTACTGCAGCCCTCCTTAAAAACCGATGCCTCATGCTTCTCCTTCACATGCTGTGTCTTGTCAATCTCGTCAACACCCATGCCACCCTCTGCCTTGCCTCCCTCAATAACTTCCTGTGTCTTGCCTCCAACAAACCCTCCATCCATCTCTGCCTTGCCCTTGTTCAAATCCTGCTCCGTGTCCCCCTCTCTTCCTATGCTCGCAGTCGTTCCAGTCCCTCCCGTGTCTCCTGCATCTCCTGTCTCTCCTGTTTTATCTGCCCCCCCTCCGTTCCCTGCACTCGCTGCGTTCCCTACATTCCCTACACCATCTGCGGTTCCTGTGTCTTTTGTGGGTCCCAAGGCCCCTGTGTCCCCTACAGGAACTGTGCTGCTGCTGCGGATTGCGCCAGGCCCTGCCTCTCTCTTGCGCTTGCCACCCCACTTTGGCAGCACCACATGCTGATGTGAGGGGGGAGGGATAGGGGAGAGGGGAGGGGATGGCGGGGGAGAGAGAGGAGATGGAGATTTGAGGGGAGAGGGGAGATGTGAGGGAGGGTTTTCGGTACGTGTTTTGGAGACGCGTGACAAAATTGACGAGACCTGCAACACGTACCTGACGTTTGCGCGGTTGAAATGGAGATGGAGCGGTGGGAAGGAGGGGCAGAGATATGAGCATGGTTGGTTCAAGCACTTGCACTGCCAGGGCTTGCAAGTATCGCAGATGCTGCTGCTGCTGTTGCTGCTGCTGCTGCTGAATCTGCTTTTCTAGCTTTCCTTCCTCCAGCTTAGCTTTCTCTTGCCCCACCAGCTTATCCCCCCTTTCGTGCTGACCAGAATCACCGCCACAAGCAGCAGGAGCAGCAGCGGCAACACCACCAACACCATCACCAGCAGTAACACCAGCACCACCAGCAGCAGCAGCAGGAGTAGGAGCAGGCAGAGCAGCAGCAGAAGGCGGAGCAGCAGCAGCAGGAGGCGGAACAGCAGCAGCAGCGCCAGGGAGAGCGTGCAGCAGCACAGGTCTACCCACTGCTAGTGCCCTCTGCACTGCCTTTTGCAACACCTGCACCTGCCAGTCCGCTGGTCGCCCCTCCTCCCCCCCTCTCTCCCCCTTCTCCCCTCGCTCTACCTTCTCCCCTCTCTCTGGCCCCCCTGCGCCTGTCGCCCCCCCCGCCCTGCTTGCTGCTGTGGCAGCAGGGGAATCAGGCGCAGCAGCAGCACCACCACCACCACCAGCAGCAGCAGCACCAGCAGGGGCGGCACGAGCGCAGACATCCACCCCTTCATCCGCTGACAAATAACCATCTGGCACCACAAATCCATCCTCCTCCTCCTCGTCCTCCCCATCACCACCTTCTTCTGGGTCGATCTTATCCAGATCCTCCTCTCCGTCGGAATCCGACAAGCTTTCGCCTGCCGGGTCCTCCTGTTGGAAGCAAAAGGGGGTGGAAGAGGGGGCGATTGGCGAGGGTGGCGAAGGGGGGAGGGGGGGCAAAATCAAGAAAAACATAAAAACACAATCGCAGTAAAAGGCGCACCTTGAGGGACCTCTTATGAACAAATCTTGCTTGATTCTTCACGTTGGTTGGTTGTTCGCGCATCTTGAGTTTTGAGTCGACTCAAAAGTCAACTTGAGTCGACTCAAAAGTCAACTTCTTCACGTTGGTCGGTCGTGCGCGCATCTTGAAACTCTTGCAAGAATGCTCGCTCTCACCAGAACCTACGAGTTTTGACACGTGTCGATACTTTTTCCACATACCTTACAAAGCAACTGAACCACCTACTACCGTCAACGTCCAAACTATGTTACTTCCCCTTTTGGAAGGCGAGCAACTTACTTCTTTCTCGGAAACAACAAGTCGACTTCTTTCGGTTGATTAAAGAGTACCATACCTCCTCCCACTCGGCCTCGCTGTCCACCTCATAGTTGAGAACTGGGTCCTTAAGCAACGGAATGTACCTCCTCTTGCCAACGCCCAACTATTACCATCTTACCTACTCTTTTGGGAAGTAAGCGTCTTACCTCCTCTTTTGGGAAGTAAGCGTCTTACCTCCTCTTTCAAGCGCATAACTCTCACCTCCTCCCACTCGGCCTCGCTGTCCACATCGTAGTTGAGAACTGGGTCCTTGCGCAACGGTGCACGAGGCCTCACCACACCACTGCTGTAACATGCCATGCCATACCATGCCATACACATGAAGTGCCAGGCCATGCCGTGCCATGCAAGGAGATGCCATGTCATGCCGCCATACAAGGAAATGTCATGCCATGCCATGCCATGCCATGCCATGCCATGCCGTGCCATGCCAGACAATGCGAGGAAATGCCACACAGCGAGCAGGTCGTTGGAAAAGGGGACAACATGTGCGGGATTAGAGGAGGTGACGAGAGGAGCTAACGAGAGAGAGGCACCATTAGCAAGCGAGCAGAAAGGCTAACGAGCTGTTATTCTAAAGTGTCCATGCTACTTGATGCACCATTAGCAAGCGGCAAGTAGCAAGCAGGTACAGTGTAAAGCATACAGAGAGTCCCATTCCCACGGGTTTCAAGGCGTCCTATTGATGCCTTAAGTCCGCCGCAAGCTTATGCTCCCCGCAACTAAGAAATTAAGAACGTACCTGGCGAGGGAGTAGGTGCCGTAAAACGCAGGCCTTGTGTTCTCCGCGAATTGCAGCAGCTTCTTCCGCCTCCGCTCCCTCCTTCGCACGTCCCACTGCTTCCCCTCTCCCCCACGCTCATCTCCGCCCCCTTCCCCTTCTTCTCCCCGCTCCCCCTTCCCCTTCCCCGCACCCTTCTCCCGCTCGGTTTTACCCGTCCCGTTCCCCAATTCAACCACCACACCAACATCCCTTCCTTCCGCCGCATCACCTCCTGGTTCCCCCCCATCCGCCCCCCCTTCTTCCCCACCCACCAGTCGCATCACCTCATCCTCCTCCTTAGCCGCCTGGCCCTTCTTTCCCAGCCCAACAGCCCCAGTAGGATCGGCGCACGATCCTGCACTAGTGACCGAAACACCACCGCCGGCAACACCCGCCGCACCTCCAGCCTTTGCTGCTGCTGCTGCGCCCGCGCCCGCATGCTTATGCGCGCGCCCGACGGCGCTGCTGCTGCTGCCGACGTCGGGCGGAGCAACGCGCGGAAGCTTGCGCGTTCCCCACGGCCTGTGCCTGCAGCGGCGGCGGATGCTCTGGGCGCTTGGCTTGGAAGGCGGGTCGGTGGGGGCAAGGGCGTGGTGTGCGTTCCACTTCTGGCACAGGGAACTGGACGGGTGGAAAGGGGTTGGGGGGTTGGAGGACGGTGGAAAGGCGGGGAGTGAGCGGAGGGCGGGGAGAACGCAGAGGGCGGGGAGTGAGCGGAGGGCGGGGAGAACGCAGAGGGCGGGGAGTGAGCGGAGGGCGGGGAGAACGCAGAGGGCGGGGAGTGAGCGGAGGGCGGGGAGAACGCAGAGGGCGGGGAGTGAGCGGAGGGCGGGGAGAACGCAGAGGGCGGGGAGTGAGCGGAGGGCGGGGAGTGAGCGGAGGGCGGGCAGAACGCAGAGGGCGGGGAGTGCGCGGAGAGGCGGAAACTCTATGAATGGGATCAGATGATTGGAACAGGTTATTGCTACGAACAATCGAGAGTGAAGGTGATGGCTGGGATATTCTCAACACCAAGAGAGGGGGCAGACAGAAAAAAAATCCACACTCCGCACCCCTTCACCCACTCCCCTCCCCGCAGCGCGTGCCCACTCTTTTCCCCCAGCGTGCACGCCCCACCCCAGAGCGCGCCCACTCCTTTCCCCCACCGCATCCCACCTGAGCAGCTCCGCCTGGGTTAGCGCGCACGGGCGCGCAAGCTGCGCGTCAATGGCCTCTGTGCTGGCGGACAGAGGCGCGCCAAGCCGCGCTGCGCTAGCCGGCGGCGGAAGAAAAGGGGAAGCCTTCGCGGCAGGGGGAGGCTTCTCCCCCGCCCCGCTCCCCGAGGCCCCTGCCCCCGCGCCTGGCGCTTCCCCGGCCCCTCCGCCTGCTGCTGCGCCCGCGTGCGCTGGTTCCGCTGGAGCGGCGGAATCGGCAGGTGCGGCGGCTGCTGGAGAGGACTGTTGCGCGGAAGGGAAAGATTAAGAGCAGACAGCGAGGGAGAGTGAGAGAAAGAGAACGAGAGGATATTGAAACCAGGGAAACAGCGAAGAAGGCAGGGGCAAGCGAGTGCTTTCAAGGCAAGAAGACTCAAGCTTACAGGAAGCTCAAACAGAACAAGTCATGGCTCCAGAAAAAGGACGCTACGAAAACGAGCAAGTAGTTCGATTCAGGAGAGACATGAGTATTCTTATCGGTCCTTGCCTTAGTCTCGTCCTTCTTCTTGCCCAAAAACCGACTCATGAAATTAGCCGCTTTCTGCTTTGCCGCCCGCTGCTTCTCCTCCGCCTCCTCCTGCTTCTTCCGCTTGAGCTCCCTCTCTCGCTCCTCCTCCTTCCTTTTCGCCTCCTTCTCCTCTCGCGCTTTTTGCTTGCGCAGCCTCTCACCCTCCTCCTGCTGCCGCTTCTGCTCCTTCTCCTCTTCCTTCTTCTTCCTCTCCTCCTCCCGCTTCCGCCGCTTCTCCTCCTTCTCTTCATCCTCTTGCTTCTTCTTAGCTTCCATCTCCTCCCTTTTCTTCCTCTTCACTTCCTTCGCCTCCTCCTCCTTCTGTCGCTTCCTCTCCCTCTCTTCCTCTCGCTGCTTCCGCTTCAACTCTCGTTCAACCCCGTCCTTACTCGTCCCCTTCCCTCTCCCCTTTCGCGCTCCCGTTTTTGCCTTCACCAGATTACTGCTCCCTCCTCCCCCCATGCTCGTACCCCCCGCGAGGCAGCGAGTAGCTCCAGCGGCAGCGGTCACGGGACCCTGACGAACGAAATCGGAGATTAATCTAGCACGAATTACCTCGCCGTCAATATGTCCCGCAATTTCCTCCGTTTCCGGCGCCCGGATCGTCTCTTTCGCCTCATTTCTCTCTTCCTCCTCCTCCTCTTCCCGATCTGCCTCCTCCTCGTCTTCCTCCTCCTCCTCTTCCATTTCGTCCCCCTCTGCGTCTTTCGTGTCTTCCGCTCCCGTCCCCCCCTCCACTGCTTTCCTCCCCTCCGCTTCTTTCATTCCCTCCGCTGATTTTTCCTCCTCCTCATTCTCACAGCCCTTCCTTGTCATTGCCGCACCTAGGGCTTCTCGACCGTTAGTAACGCCCGCCATCTCGGTCGGTCCGTCCTTTACTATGCTGACGTCACCAACCGCACCTCGCTCCGCTGCTGAGTCATCCGCCTGTCCAAGTGACGTGGGCCCAGGCAGTACTACCCTCGTTGTAATCCCCTTCACTTCAACCACTGCAGGTGAGTCCACGGACCCGCGCTTGACGACGCAATCGGCGCTTCCCATTTGACAGAAAATACCGAGTTTCCAATGGCTGCGGGAAGAAACGGAGGATAAGGGTTGAGGAACAAATGGTGAAGAACTAAGAGGCTGAAGGGCGTGATAAGACTTCGAGCGGGAAATTGAAAGAACGGTGCTGGGTCAGCAAAGAATGAGGAGAAGAAAAAAGACAATATCCAGGGAAACGAAACAACAAAAAAGAGAGAAAATGGGAAAGGCGGAAAGTGAATAAAGAGCGTAAACAACATTTTATGCGTAACAAAATGGGTGGACACACGACACGTAGACGAAGAGAAAAGGTCTTTCATGTGTTTCCACATCAAGGCCCAGCACGACGCTTATCGTACCAAAGGAGTATGGCACGCTATCACTAGTCGGCGTTGATGCAGGGCCTTTTCATTGGTCAACGGTCGTCCAATGCGAAAGCGTGGCACATGTGTGAAACGTCCGGCGTCTTTCCAAGGTGGTCTCAAAAGGTCGACGGCACGAATGGCGCGAGAGGAGATATGTACGGCTGTCTGCGCGCGAGAACTACAATAAGCCGCAAGATAGCCGTTGCTCGGCGTTAAAACGGGATAGGACTATGTATGGGCATCCGATTACGAAAGGCAGCGAGATCGCAGTCAGGCAGGAACAATTAAAAGGAAAAGTATCGTAAGCACGAAATCTACGTCAAGTGAGCGGCAACAAGGCTGCACGATTTAGACGCCATCAACGGCGATATAGAACAACGGTTTCGATGTGGCAAATGCATGCCTCTATTTCCTCTCTTGCCGTGCTAAAAGCGAAGCACGGTAGGAGCAGTGAGAACATATGAACGGCAAAAAGAATTCGAACAGCAAAGCAGAAAGGCAGTCGATCAAAAGAGCCGAGGAGGTCTGCGGAGTCGGGAGGGGAAGGGGGCGGAAGACTGGGCGGGTGCGCGGGGATGCCCGCGCGTCAATGTCAAGGAGTCGTTGGGGGGCTTCCCTCCCTCCCTCCCCTTCCGCGTGCCCAACCAGGGTAGTGAGCGGGCCATGGAAATGGGGGAAACTGGTACTGTACCTGGTGGAGAGTTCGGTTTGGAGATTGGAAAGCGCCCGCCTGCTGCTGACGCAGGTGCTGGTCTGGACGCAGGGGAGATGCGGAAAGAATGACACGCGTCACAGTGAAGCAGAGCGGAGCGGAGGTTCTTCCGCAAGTTGAAGGGCGGATATTCGCGCCAACGACTCGTGGCGCCCAAGGCTGGGTTGGGTTTGCATGTCCGAGAATTCAAATTCTGAAGTTCAAACATTCCAACGAGCGTCACTGTAGTACCTCGATAGAAGCGGAAATTCGCTCAATGCAACTGACTTCAGTACATATCATTAACTCCCTAAGCATGTTTGTTGACATATGGCTCTTCATACGGTACTTACAATATGACATGTTTGAAAGCATGGCGGTAAAAACAATGAATGTGCGCTGTAATTTCACCTGTGAACGCCATAGATGATACGCCTTGAGAACCCCCAACATCAACCCCAAAGGCAAGGACCTGGTTTGTTCTTTGTACGCCCGCCCACCTACACCAAACAGTGAAAGTTTGATGTTTACCGTACATTTGCTGGTACTACCAACATTATAATTTTAAACACATTGATGTTTTTCAAAATTGTGTATTGTGAAAGCGAAGCTACCTGTACCGAATATTTGGCAGCGTCGAAGTGCGCTAAACGCTCTTCTCCAATTACAAAAACCGTGGGTTGGAGTTCATTCCCTCCACCCACGTTTCTCGTTTTCCAATGACTCAATCAACATCCCCACCACCCACCCCGGACCAACTACAAGACCACAGCTGCTTGGACGGACGACTCCATAGCTAGTAATATTTGCATGTACTAGCATGCGTTTAAGAACGATGCATTTGTTGTAATAAGCCAATTGCAATGAGAACGATGCCCAGTTGCAATGAGAACAATGCCAAATTATAAGGACAAGAAAGCAAGCTTTCTCAATTATGCACATGGAACAACCGCATTGTAAATATTGTCAACTCGTCAGTACAATATTTTGAATTTGTACAGAAAATATTCTCTGGCTCATGCAGCCTCCCACATTGGCTCCCCTGAATCCTACCAAGAACACCACCTTCGTTCGGCCCTTGGCATTCCCACTTCTAACTTGTCCAAAGGCCAGTACCTCATTGAATTCACCCAACAAGCATAATCCCTCCCCCTCACCCTCCCCCCCTGTCAAATGTTGTAGCCTGTAGTGAGGTTTGTCTTAGGGGGTACAGAAGTTAGGGTTTGTTATATGTACCCCAACCAACATCAATGGCATCATCATTCCTCATTCTGACATGGTATCAGCTAGGTTAGGATCCTGTGGGATCCCGTTCCTCCGTTCTCCGTTCGTCCCTCCCGAGCCTGATCCTACCTCTCGTTCGTACCGGTTCCGTTGTTACCGCGCCTAGTACCGAGCCTAGCGCCCTCTCCCCCGTCGCTTAGCGCCCTTTCTCCCCGTCGCCTAGCGCCCTTTCCCCCCCCCCCCCCCCCCCCCCCCCCGTCGTGTCGCGCCCTTTCCCCCCGTCGCCTAGCGCTCTTTCCCCCCGTCGCGTCGCGCCCGTTCCCCCCGTCACGTCGTGCCCGCCCTTTCCCCCCCGTCCCGTCGCCCTGTCCCGTCGCGTCGCCCTGCCTCGTCCCGTCGCCCTGCCCTGTCGCGTCGCCCTGCCCCGTCCCGTCACCCTGCCCCGTCGCGTCGCCCTGCCCCGTCGCGTCGCCCTGCCCCGTCCCGTCACCCTGCCCCATCGCGCCGCCCTGCCCCGTCGCGTCGCCCTGTCCCGTCCCTACGCCCTGGCCCGTCGCCCTACCCTACGCCCTGGCCCGTTGCCCTACCCTACGCCCTGGCCCGTCGCCCTACCCTACGCCCTGGCCCGTCGCCCTACCCTACGCCCTGGCCCGTCGCCCTACCCTACGCCCTGGCCCGTCGCCCTACCCTACGCCCTGGCCCGTCGCCCTACCCTACGCCCTGGCCCGTCGCCCTACCCTACGCCCTAGCCCGCTCTTCCGCTGCGACTGAGTCCCCTTCCCACCTGAACCCTAATTTGCCTCTTCTCCCCGGTTGTTACTCGCCTGTTCGTTCGCGTTAGTTCTCACTATGGCGACTCCGCGAGTTCTTCGTTTCGACGCTGACGGTAGACCACTTGACTTTTCCGTCTGGCTTCTTCGCGCTCGCCGTCTGTTAGAGAGTCAGGTCCAGGGGGGCGAGATCCTCTGGTCGCACGCTACTGGTGACCTCCCCGAGCCCCCCGAGCCTACAGCTTTAGGCTCTGGCCCTGACGACGCTGCTACGGCTCGCTTTGCCCGTCAGCGCGCTGACCGGACGGCTTGGACGTCGCGTGACGCTGCGGCCTGCATCGCACTCAGCAGCCTCCTCCCTGAGTCAGAGGAGGTCCACTTTACTCAGGTTCGCACCGCTGCTGCGTACCTCACTGCGATTAAGGCCCGCTACTCTACTCCCGCTACTGTCTCTCTTGGCCGTCTTTTCCTCCCGTTCCTGTTTCCTGATCTCGCCTCGTTTGAGCGCTCTGCTGACTTGATCGCTCACCTCCGCTCGCTCGACGCTAGTTACCGCGCTGCTTGCACTGAGGCACAGCTTGCACTGCTTCCTCCCCCGATGGCGATTACTGTCTATTTCATCGCCACTAGCCTCCCTGACCGCCTAGCCTCCGTTCGTGACGCGCTTCTGCTGAAGCACCCTAGTGAGCTGACTATCGAGGTCCTTGATTCTGCACTCAAGGACGTCGAGAGCAACCTTCGCTCGGTAGCTGCCGCCTCTGGTACTGTGTCCCCCCCACTCTTCCACGGGTGCACAGTCCCGTAGTTACCCACCTTCACTGCCTCTCTCGCCACTGCCGCTACTGACGCGACTGCGGCTGCTGTTACGACTGCGTCGCGGTCCCGCGGCAAGGGGGGCAAGAAAGGTAGTTCTGGTGGAGGTGGAGGTGGAGGTAGCGGAGGTAGTGGGGGTGCTGTTGCGACTGGCGGTGGTGGGAGTGCAGCGTCTGGAGAGACCCCTCGTGCAGCGGCTGGTGACTCCACTGCGCCTGCTGGTGGCGGCGACCCTCGAGCTCGTCAGTCGCCTCCTGTACTGCCGACCCCGCTAGGTGGAGCAGCGGCGTGGTACCAGGCTCAGCGTCAGCAGCACCTTCAGCAGCAGCAGCAGCCCCTTTCCTCCCGCCAGCCTCAGCAGCAGCAGCGTCAGCAGCTGGCTCCGGGGTCGGGGCTGCGTCAGCCCCAGCGCGGTGCTTCTTACCCTCCCTGCACCTATCAGGTTCTGACAGGTCCTCGTCGGGGCCACCCTTGTGGCCGCTTTCACCCCCTTGGTCAGTGCTTTGCTCAGCTCACTGACACGGTCCGGTTGGCCTACGGGGTTGGCGGTCCTGCTCTTGACTGGCTTCCTGTGGTTCAGCGCTACGGCTCCGCTCTGTGGGGCATGTCTGCTGAGCAGTTAGTTGATCTGATTGGTGCTCCTCATGCTATGTATGCTGTTGTTGACTCTAGTGTTTCTGACTCTGTTTACTCTGGTGTTGTTAGCTTAGGTGCTAGTCTTGCTCAGTTGCCTGTTGCTAGTGTAGGTTCTTGTGTAGACTCTAGACCAGCGACTACCTCAGAGGACGCTTCGCTGTCGTTCACGCTGGACTCTGGAGCCTCACACTGCTTCTTCCGGGACAGCACGACACTTACACCACTTCCTGCGCCTGTTTCTGTGGCTTTGGCTGATCCCACTACGGGACCAGTCACTGCACGTCACACTACCACTTTACCGTGTCCTGCTGCTTCCTCCGGGTCTCTCACTGGGTTTCACGTCCCCTCGTTCTCCCGGAACTTGGTGGGCGTGCGACCCCTCGTGAGTCAGCACGTGGGTGTGTGGTTTGAGCCTTCTGGAGAGACTGCGGTGTGTGTTGACGGAGACTCTTACCAGCCTCTTGCTACCTTTACTGCTGAGCCGGGCTCAGGTCTCTACACTCTTCACACTGGCCCGCGTGCGCCGCAGCAGCAGCCGCAGCAGCAGCAGCAGCCGCAACCGCAGCAGCAGCAGCAGCAGCAGCTGCACCAACGGTCGCACCAGCAGCCGCCCCTACTGCCACTGCCCCCGGTTCCCCCTCCCGTTCGGGTCCCCGCGTCTCACCAGGTTGCTTCGTCCCCCCAGGTGTCTGTGTCGTGTCAGGTTCCTACGTCTGCTCCAGTCGCTGCGTCGTGCTCCTGCCGGTCGCTTGCCCACCCCACCGTTCTGTGGCACCACCGGATGGGGCACCCGTCCCTTCCTCGTCTGCGCGCTATGTCTAGTCAGCGTCTTGTCCTAGGCCTCCCACGTGTCTTGCCGTCGCTGCCGCCTTCGCTTGCGCCGCCGTGTGGTCCCTGCGTCGAGGGTCGGCTGCGCGCCGCCCCTCACTCCTCCTCCCTTCGTCCGGCCACCGAGCCTTTTGAGACGCTTCACTTGGACGTCTGGGGCCCCGCCCCTCGTCTAGGCCCTGAGCGTGAGCGCTACTTTCTGGTGGTCGTTGACGACTTCTCCCGCTACACCACAGTGTTCCCTCTGGTGAAGAAGTCTGAGGTGACTTCTACGCTGATCAGGTGGTTGCTCACCACCGAGGACACTCGTGGTCGTCGTGTCAGCTGCCTCCACTCCGACCGTGGGGGTGAGTTTCGCTCCGGCATTCTCGCTGGATTCTGTCGCGAGCAGGGCATTCGTCAGTCCTGGACGCTTCCAGAGTCCCCACAGCAGAATGGGGTTGCTGAGCGCCGCATAGGCCTGGTCATGGAGATCGCCCACACCTCCCTGACTCACGCCTGTGCCCCCCATTTTCTGTGGCCCTACGCGGTCAGTTACGCCGCGCACCAGCTGAACCTCTGGCCACGTGTCTCTCGACCAGAGGTTTCACCGACCAGTCTTTGGACAGGGTCCCCTGGTGTTGCGTCGCGGTTTCGTGTCTGGGGGTGCTTGGCTCTTGTCCGCGACACCTCCGCGGACAAGCTCTCGCCTCGTGCCGTCCCCTGTGTCTTCCTTGGTTTCCCTGAGGACTCCTCTGACTTCACCTTTTACCACCCTCCCTCTCACTGGTTCTTTGACTCCCGTGACGTCCGTTTCGAGGAGTCCACTCCGTACTACGTCAGGTACCCCAGTCGAGGTCTCCAGGTTCCTCCTCCCCCCCTCTTCCTGACTGCCGCTCCCCCTCCTGTTCCCCCGGTACAGCCTCCCCCCCCTGGTCCAGCCCTGTCGGGTGTGTCCCAGGCTACCCCTCCTCCTTCGGTAGCCTCTCCGGTACAGCCTCCCTCCCCACAGTCCTCCTCGCAGCGTGCCGCAGGTGCTAGCTCTCGAGAGGTTGGTGCTGCGCCTGTTCCTGTACCGGTTTCTGGTTCTGGGGGTGGTGGAGTTGGAGATGGAGTTGGAGCTGGAGTTGGCACTGGAGTTTCTGGTTCTGGGGGTGCTGGGGTTGGAGCTGGAGTTGGAGCTGGAGTTTCTGGTTCTGGAGTTGGAGCTGACCCGGTGGGTGCAGAGGACTCTTGTCGTCCGGGAGCTGGTGCTGGTCGCGCGGACACTGGGGGTGAGAGTGCGCCTCTTTCGGGTTATGGTGAGCCTGGGTGTGGAGCTGGTGTTAGTGCTGCCTCTGGGGGTGGTGCGCCTGGTTCTTCGGGGGTGGACTCTGGAGCTACCGCTTCTTCGGACACTACTCCGCCCCCCCACCCCTACCCGACTAGGCACCAGGCTCGTGTTCGCCGTGCCCGTGACGAGCAGCTGGCGTTGGAGAGAGAGGAGAGGGAGTTACAGCGGCTGGAGGAGCAGCAACAGCAGCTGGAGCCGCAGGAGCAGCAGCAGCAGCAGCAGTAGCTGGACCCGCAGGAGCAGCACTCCCAGCAGCAGCCGCTTCCGCAGCAGCAGCAGTCGCAGCAGCAGCAGCAGCAGCAGCAGCAGCCACTTCCTCCTCCTGTCTCGGGTCTTCGGACCCTTGGTCTCCCCTCCCCTTCTCCTCCCTCCTCCGCCTCTCCTCCTGTCTACGGTCCCACGTTTCCTCCTCCTGACTCCTCCCCCGCTGTTTTCCCCAGTTCTCCGCCTTTGTCCTCTCCTCCTCCGTCTCGTTCTTGGGCTACTCGTCGCTCCCCTCGTGCTCGTCCCTCGTCTCCTGTTCCCTTCACTGACCTTCGTACTGCCTTCCTTCTTTCTAGTCCACCTCGTCCGTCTCAGTCTGTGCTTCCGTCTCCTCCTGAGTCGGCCCTCACTGTGTCGCTCCCTACTCCTGCCACTGACTACTACCGCACGTACCGTCCTGTTCTCTCTCGTGTTCTGGCCTCTCTTGTTACTCACCCTCGTGCCTATGTGTCCTCTGTGTCCGCTCTTACTGCCGCAGTTACTGACTTTGCCTCTACCCGCCGCCTTGACTACGCCACCACGCTTGTGGCTGCTCCTCCTACCAGTCCTCTGGCCGTCGGGGGTGTGTCTGCCCTTGGCTGTGACGCCCTAGAGGACAGGCAGTTTGAGCTAGAGTTCCTGGCGGCCGCTTCCCCTCATCTCTGTGCCATGCTCCTCGCCCCTGAGGGTGACTCCGACGCCCTTGACATTCCGACTCCTCGCACTTACGCTGAGGCAGTGTCAGGGCCTTGGGCCTCTCAGTGGAGAGCTGCCATGGACACAGAGATGGCCTCCTACAGATCCACAGGCACCTACGTCGAAGAGGTTCCCCCCCCTGGGGCGAACGTAGTCGACGGCATGTGGATCTACAGGGTGAAGCGGCCACCGGGATCTCCCCCGGTCTTCAAGGCGCGCTACGTGGCTATAGGTTTCAGTCAGCGCGAGGGAGTTGACTTCTTTCAGACCTTCGCACCTACCCCGAAGATGACCACTCTTCGGGTGTTACTACACGTAGCAGCACAGAGGGACTACGAGTTACACTCTCTCGACTTCTCCACTGCTTTCCTTCAGGGCAGCCTACACGAGGAGGTCTGGTTGCGTCGTCCCTCGGCCTTCACTGGCACCTTCCCTTCTGGGACCCAGTGGAGGCTGAGGCGACCTGTTTACGGTCTTCGCCAGGCCCCTCGTGAGTGGCACGACACTCTGCGTTCTACCCTCTCTGACCTTGGGTTCCAGCCGTCTTCTGCCGACCCGTCGTTGTTCGTTCGTCGTGGCTCCACACCGTTCTTTGTTCTGGTTTACGTCGACGACCTCGTTTTCGCCACTCCGGACAGGGTTGCTTTGGCAGGCGTGAAGTCCGAACTGCAGAAGAGACACACGTGCACTGATCTTGGTGAGCTGCGCCACTACCTTGGCCTGCAGATCACCAGGGACAGAGCCGCTCGCACCATTACACTCTCACAGTCACACATGGTGCAGCAGGTCCTTCAGCGGTTCGGGCTTCAGCACTCCACCGTACAGCGCACACCTCTCGCTGTTGACCACAGACTCACTGGTCCCTTTCCTGACGAGCCGTTTGAGCCTAGTGGTCCCTACGCAGAGCTTGTGGGTTGCCTCATGTACCTGATGACTTGTACTCGCCCGGACCTCGCCTTCCCTCTCAGCATCCTTGCGCGCTTTGTTGCGCCAGGGAGACACCGTCCTGTTCACTGGACGGCAGCTGTGAGGGTGGCGAAGTACCTAGCGACTACATCAGGCGTGGGGCTAGTTCTTGGAGGGCAGCAGTCTGTCGTACTCACTGGTCACTGTGACTCCTCTTACGCTGACGACGCTGAGACTCACAGGTCTACTCAGGGGTACTGTTTCAGTCTGGGTTCTGGAGCTGTTTCCTGGCGTTCCACGCGCTCCTCTTCTGTCTCGACCTCTACAGCTGAGGCTGAGATTTACGCTGGTGCCATGGCGGCACAGGAGTTGCGTTGGTTGACCTTCTTGCTCGCCGACCTTGGTGAGCGGCCGAGCTCTGCACCGACCTTGTTCACTGACAACAAGGCGTCGATCCTCCTCTGTCGTGAGCCGCGACTGGAGAGCAGAGTGAAGCACATTCACGTCAGGTACTTTCTTCTGCGTGAGTTGCAGAGACGTGGACAGGCTCGCTTCGAGTTTGTGGAGTCCGAGGCCAACACTGCAGACATCTTCACCAAGGCGCTTCCGCCTCGTGACCACCAGAGGTGTTGTGTGCAGTTAGGCCTTGTTGACACAGGTTCTAGTCATGTGTAGGCTTGAGTTTATTGCCTGCTTCGTCTGTACTCTTGCTTTATATATTTGTGATCTCTTGGACTGGCCTTGTGGCCACTGTTGCTTTTGCTCAGAGAGTGTGGTGACGTTGTGATCCACCCTGAGCTTTGTTTTCTTTTGGACTGGTCTTGTGACCGCACTCTTTTTTATTTTGCTAGACACCCCTCACTTAGGCTATGGGGGTGTGTCAAATGTTGTAGCCTGTAGTGAGGTTTGTCTTAGGGGGTACAGAAGTTAGGGTTTGTTATATGTACCCCAACCAACATCAATGGCATCATCATTCCTCATTCTGACACCCCCCCCCCCCTCCCCGCCGCCATATCCCCACCCTCGGTCAACAAAACACACCAGTTCCGCAGCCACTCCAGCTCCCCCCTCCCCCTTCCCCCCTTAGATCTCCACCCATCCACCCTCAAGCCCTCTTCTGCTGCGCGTGCTGCCGCATCACCCCTGCAGCCACCGCCGCAGCCGCAGCCTCAATCCTTGCGCGCTCGCTCTTAGCTAAGTGCGGCCCGCAGTGCGCGCGGAACTTATCCGGGTGCCACACCAGCAGAGCCCGCCTCATCTTCCTTTCCGCCTCTGCCCGCCCGTCTCCAGGCTCCAGAAACAAAGGGTTCCCCGGAGGAGGCCAGGGGATGTCAGAGAAAGCAAGGGTGAGGGGGGCGGTGGGGGGAGGGGCGGCGGGAGTGGAAGCAGGGAGGGGAGAAGATGGAGCGTGGTGGGGGGAGGAGGGTGAGGGAGTCCGGGGCGACTGTTGTTGCTGCTGCTGCTGCTGGGTGTGGATTCTGAGGGAAGACAGGAGGGCGTTCCAGCAGCGATCATACGTGCGGTAGGAGGAAGGCCGCTCACACACACTCGTGCTGTCACTGCTGCTTTTACTGTAACCGTTACTGTAACCGTAATTGGTACTGCTGCCACTGTAACTGTTACTGCCATTACCATAGTTCCCTCCTGTGTAACCATACGCTTGCTCATAATAACCGCTCCCGTCTCTGTAAGCAGACCCAGACCCAGACCCAGACCCATGCTCGTGCCCATACTCATACCCGTACCCATGCCCGAACCTCCTCCCTGTCCTCCTCTCTTCCGCCTCATCCTGGGCCCGTCGCATGCGAATCCTCTCTCTCAGCCATTCCTGGTACTCCCTCTCCTCCTCCTCATTCCCCTCGTCATAATCCGCATTCTCGTCCAAGCCACCACTATCACCGCCTCCCCCATAGGAAGACTCACTGAAATAGGCATTACGGGGATTGTAGCCACTGCGACTACTGAACCGTTCCGCACCCCTCCGTTCTCCGTTCCCTCTTCTGTTGCCTCCCCCTCCACCTCCTTCCCCTTTCATCGCCTCCTCCCACGCCCTCCTCAACCCTTCCGCCCTCCTCCTCTCCCTCTCCCTCTCCAACTCCCTCACTCGCTCCCTCACTCTCTCTCTCGCTCTCTCCAACGCCTCCTCCCTCATCCTCATCCTCTCCACCCTCTCCCGATGCCTCCTCCACCGCTGCCACTTGTCAGCTTCCCATTGGCCCGTTCGCGGCCCTCTTCCCCTCATCCCCCTCCCCCATTTCTGTCGCAATCTCTCCACCTCATCCTCCTCCTCCTCACCCCCTTCCCCCTGCACCTCCAAGACACAGTGAAACGGGAAAGGCACGCATGATAGGGGTGGGTAGGGAGGGGGGATGCGGGAAGGACAGTATACTACTCTTACTAAACTCACATGAGTCTGTGTAAGTGGAAAATGGAGGTTGTGGGTGACACAGAGAATCTTCCCTCCTACCTCTCAGCTGGGAATACAGGGAGGACTGGCAGTGGGGATGCAAAGGGGAGTGAGGGAGACTGGTGACCTAAGCACGAGGCAGGCAGAAACCAAGGGAGAAAAAGAAGGTGCTTTAAAGGCAGAAGAAGCATGTGACGCGGCGGCAGGGGTATACGATCCGAGCACCAAACTCCGGGTGTCCGGTCCAGGCCATCGGGGCTTCAGGTGTATGTGGATGGGTGGGTGTGGGCGTGGGTGTGGGCGTGGGCGTGGGCGTGGGCGTGGGTGTGGGCGTGGGCGTGGGCGTGGGCGTGGGCGTGGGCTTACCAGTGGCGCGCCATTGTGTGGCGAAGCTTGCAGCAGGGAGGAGAGGAAGAAGGCAGCGTTTCCCACAAACAGCAGGTTCCGTCCCGTGAACCCAATCATGCTTCCCAGCCACCCCACGTGCCACTGCCACCCCGCCCCTCCCCCCTCCGCTGCTCCTCCCCCTCTCCCCTGCCCCTGCCTCGCGCCTTGCTTCCCCGCCCCGGCTTTCCTTCTCTGGAGCGCCGTGGGTGGTTTTTCCTGGGCTGGGGCCCTACTGCTGCTAGTAGTGCTGTTTGCGCCTGTGTTGCTGGTGGTGCTGCTACTGCTACCACTGCTGCTGCTGCTGCTACTGTGATTGCTGCTGACAGCATTCGCACCACTGGAACTACGCCTGGCAGCAAACAAACCATCACTGCTCTCCATCTCGCCTTCTCTCCCCCCCTCCCCTTCCCCTTCCCCTTCCCCTTCCCCTTCCCCTTCCCCTTCTCCCCTGCCTCCTCCCCCGCCTCCCCCCCTCCCCCCTGCACCACCCCAGCCCCCTTGGCCCCACCACCCCTTGCCCCCACCTTGCCCCCATCCGCCACTGACGTCAGCTTCCCCCCCCGCATCTCGCACCTTCCCCCCGTCACCACCAGCCGCACCAGATGTACCAGCAGCAGCGCCACCAGCAGCAGCGCCACCAGCAGCAGCGCCACCAGCAGCAGCACCACCAGCAGCAGCGCCACCAGCAGCAGCGCCACCAGCAGCAGCGCCAGCAGCAGCAGCGCCAGCAGCAGCAGCGCCAGCAGCAGCAGCGCCAGCAGCAGCAGCGCCAGCAGCAGCAGCGCCAGCTGACACCACGGCCGCAACACGAGCAACCCCACCAGCAGAAGGAGTACCAGCATTAGCATTAGCAGAGGCAGCAGCACCAGACGAGTTCACTGCTGCAGCACCGCCTGTGCTAACGCGCCTAAAGTCCCCTGCACCGCTCCCAACCCCACCACTCGCGGGATTTGCAGCAGCAGCAGCGGCGGAGGCGGCGGCGGCGGCGGCGGCGGTGGCACCCCAACCCCATGCCACTATGACCCTCACCGCTCGCTTCTCCCCCCGTCCACCCGCCTCGCTTCCGCGCCCCCCATGCCGCGCAGCCCCCGGGAGCCTCCGCTTCGCGGGAATCACGCGCTGGTCCACCTGCGGCAGGTGCGCGGAGAGCATGGCTGCAGGCGGAGCGGCGCATCCGCAGGCAGCGCGCAAGGGGCAAGCCATTGGGGGAGAGGGAGAGCGGAGCGCAGAAAGTGGGAGGCGGAACGCGGAACGAGAAGGGAAAGCGGAGGTCCGATGCGGAGGAGGGGAAGAATGGAAGCGTTCAGGAGAGAGAGCGAGGAGAAGCGGAGAGAAGGCGGGGAGAAGGCGGGGAGAGAGCTGGAAGAGAAGAGAGAGAAACCGTCGCGGAATGCGCGAGTGACGCTGAAGCGCGGGAAGAGAGATGAGCAGCGAGCGAACCGAGGGAAGACGTGAGGTTCGGACTAGTCACCGTGAAATGTGGCTCCGACTGAAAACACAGCGTACGACAGAAAGCCTGGCTTTATATTCTGCTCCTTGGTCTGCAGCTTACGAGAACTCAACTAAGCCTGTCTGCAACACGAGAGGAATCTGCTTTTTCCCTGCAGTGGAGCATGGAGCGAGATTGGCGGACGAGGAGGGATGGAAGGTACCAGCGTATGGCGGGAAATGCGAGGAAATAAGGTTTGGCGAGATGTTACTTATGTCGAGCGACGAGAGATTCGCCAGCTTCGTTGCGAGAACGAGCGACAAGGAGAATTCGCTTGGCGAATGTGCAAGCCATGAGGAATGATAAGCCAAGCTAGATGTGAGACCGAGGCCGAAGGTACAGACAAGGCCGCCTGGGCCGCGAGATGTGGCGTGATTAGGGCGTGATACATTGTATTTTTGTATCGTCCGGATGGCCAGCCGTCCGGATATGTATGGTTATGAAAATCGTTAAATCTCGGCAGTGAGTTCGTCAGGGTCTAAACGACGTCGAATGCTTCGTATTGCTTCCTTACGACATCGCATTGGTCGCAACACGACCGTGCGACGTCGCAATCTTCGTACGCGTCCGGACAACCGTCCGGACTGTCAGGGACTTCGAAAAATCAAGCACGCCCTTATTCGAGCAAGTAGGCTGTTGTGGAAGGGAGTGAATGCAGCTGGTAGCTGGTGGATGTGCCTGCCACGTCACGAAAATTTCGTTATACGCGTAGTCTGTTTCCCCGTACCGACTGAATGTTACTGCATGGGGCTACTCTATATGCATTGATATTTGGGAACCACTATAATCTGCCTGTCCTACGAATGTGCATATCAATTTGTGGTGCACATCAAAGAAGATTAAATCGAAATATTCATTAACCAGTGCATTGTTTTCCTAATCGTTTTCCTTATCCAATGCTAAATAGATTTTAAAAGTGGAACAATCAGAGAAGCTCACATACAGAATCAGAACAATTTATTTTACAAAGCAAAGGGTTTATTGGGTGATGTGATGTCCACGTCACTCCCAGGCTGTCAGCCTGCAGATTATTGACCTGGATTTTTTCAGTGGGACTTGATTGGTGCAATCGAGAGGTTTGGCACGAAAAACTCAGGGCGGGAATGGTTCTCCTGAGGCCGTGTCGCATTTCTTTCGAACATCGAACCGCATTTCCTGAAATGGCTCGAAACAGTTTGCCCCCAAAATGACTGTTCTCAAGTTGCCCAGACGTTGGAGCAGATTTTCTTGCGCTTACATGTCCGTTGCCCGTTTGAGCTGAATTAACCAGAGCTTAACCTTATTCACACAAACTCATCATCGCTTAACACGTGGTCTCTGAAGCAATCGGGCAAACAGGGAGGTCAACGTTAAAATTTTGATTGCACATGAGCTTCATCCTGCGATCTGTTTTGTGCTTCACGCTGCCAGCCGTAATGGCATCGTGCAAATCTGGCGCTGTGAAGTGAAGACCACACAGAAAACAAAACCAGTACCCATTTGCGCCAATTTCACTCGTTCTTGGCTGCGAAGGATTTGACTGCGAGAGCTGATCTGGCTATTTCATCTGAATGCTCTCACAGCGACGACGGACCCTCCCGTTCGACCTAACCTGGGACGGAACTGCGAACGTGCACACTGAAGTTTACGACTGCAAACGTCACACGAAGGTTTGGACTGAGCATCACAGGAACGTCACGTGAGCGTCACAGAAAGCGTCGCATGATGTCGATCCTCCACGTTCGTGTTTTTCAGCGTGATCGTCAGGAATGGAGCTTCGTCCGCAGGCACGTCTCGTCGCGCCAATCCATGGCTGCCCAACAAAGCATCGCTTCTCGCAACCGCCACTATATAATAAATATTAGTCCAAACTTCTCAACATCGACCGCCTTCCACGCGACGTTACTTGCGCTGGTGCTCGCTGCATCCGTTGCGACCTGCAGAGGCCAACCCGCGCTCCCACAACCGACTAGCCGTAAGTATTTTCAGAATAAGCGCTCTTGATAAGGGCGCTATGCAATTACCCGTGCACTCAGTTGACCGAGAATCTTGTAACACTTGACACGCGTGCGCACCTTCCTCTCGTGCTCACCTCATTGCCAATGGTATTGTGCGGGTTGGCGCGCAACGCCTTGAAACGGTTAGCGAGCAAATTTCGCACTGACTTTCCTTCGTTTGATTCTCGTACTGCTTCTCGTAATGCATCTCATCCCGCTCCCTCCCTCTTTCCTTCGCCATTTGCTCTCGTTCCACTTTCCGCTCCGGCCATTGACTTCAGCCAAATGTGACTTTAGCGATGGCGAGTGGTCTTACTCCAAGACGAACCCTCGATACAAGGGATGTCCATACATTCGCGAGATCTTTGACTGTAGAGACAACGGGCGGGGCGACCGGCAGTGGGAGAAGCAGAAGTGGTCGCCCCGTTATTGCGCAATCAAGTACTTTAACGCGGACAGATTCCAAAAGCTCTTGGCTAACAAGGTTCGCAAGGGGATGGTGGAGATGGTTTGAGAGCGGTGAAAGAGCAGGGCTGTTGAGGGTTGCGGCACTGCGGGAAATGTGAAACTTTGGGGGAAGGGAGAGGAAGTTTAGATGCTTATATTTAGTTGTAAGAGTTCTCGAAAGTGACTTCGATACAGCTGGGGGATAGTGGATCAAGGGAGAGGAAGGTAAAGACAGCGAGAGTGAGAGGAGGCTTTGATGAGGTGTATGATAACACTGAAGCGTAAACTAAGGGTTGGAGGGTTTAGCCAGGAAATGGTTTTAATAATCAGCTTTGCCTCCCCCCCTTGTTTCTTACGTTTTTGGGTGCTGTGTGTGTGCTCGGCAGACGATTGCGTTTATAGGTGACTCGCTAATGACCAACATGTGGGAGAGCTTCACGTGCACGCTATGGGGATACCACATCAAGATGCTGGTTAGTGATTTTGGAACCCCACATGAGCGATAAAGTGCCTTCAATGTAGCGACCAACTCCAACACCTCTCGATCCCTTTAAACTCCCCGTCTCGTTCTAGCGACCCTGAGCTCTTTCACCGCTAAGGTCAGGTCAAAGCTCAGGTCCGAAATCCCACTTTCCGCTCCCCCCTGCGCCCTTCCCTCCTCCGTTGATCCTCCGCAGCCCGTGCAAAAGCGACTGGGTCCCGAGGCGAAATTCACAGGCTTCCACCTACCCCAATCCAACACAACCGTACTGTACCGCTTCTCATCCTACCTCACCAAGGCGTCGAGAAGCGAAGGCCGAGACCCCCTGCACGGGGGCAGACACGGCTACAATGTTGACGTCGATGTAGTGGACCCCGTTTTAAGCGCCGCTGTGTCTAAAGTGGATGCGGTGGTGCTGACGAGCGGGATGTGGTGGCAGGCGAACGTTCCTGGAAGGAAGGCTACGAACATTTACAAGATGCAGGGTGTGGATGTCCTGTACTCCGACTTAAACGCGTACAAAAAGTCACTGTACACCGTGCGAGAGCTGCTGCTGAAACACAAGTAAGTACAGGGTTCACCTGGTAAAGTTTGGTCCATATAGTGTGATTTCAAATCAGCCTTGCTCATACTGTCAGTTGAGTCCTTCTGAGTATGTGGTGTTGATTCGGATCAGTTGTACTTCCCCCATACATCCCACTCACCCTTTTCAACCAATCCATCCAGTTCAATTTTGTCCATTCTCATCCCTTTCTCCCACCCTTGACTCCCCTTTTCCCCCCAACACACACACCCCTCCCCACACACACCCCTCCCCTCTCCGCCTCTTCCCCCCACCCGTACAACCCCACACAGGTCAAGACTGCTATCCTACTATATCTCCTTCTCCCCCCAGCACAAGTTTGAGCCCCGTTTCGCCTCCATGCCTGGCACATGCGGTTACAGCCTCCCCCTCAACCAATCAGCAGCAAAGGCCTTTCTCAACAACCAGGCAGCCAGCGCGGTCACTTACGAAGCAGCTCAGCGCCAAGTTTTCTCCTCCCCTACTCCTGTCAGGCTTTTAGATATTACCGAAATTTCTGCAGCCAGGCCGGATGGGCATGTGGGGCAGTATGGGGCGAAGGGGGGTCTGCCTGCAGGGCAAGTTGCAGAGAGAGGGGATTGCAGGCACTGGTGCTTGCCGGGGGTTCCCGATGCCTGGGTGGATTTGCTTTACACGGCTTGGGAGAATGAGCCTGCACTTGTGGTCCCGGCTAAAAAGAGGTGACTGAGGAGGGGTATCTGAGGGGGTTTTCAGTAATTACGTGACGTGCCTTTTATACCCTACTAGACTGTAAGGGTTTTCTGCGTTGCGATGCCCTAACCTAGTCTACATTTAGCTATAACTCTTATTATGGTAGGTTTATCTTTTATATATTATGGTTGATTCTGTATGTAGCACAGAACTCCATTACTGTACTAGGTTTTCGTGGAAGAGCTTAACAATTGTATTATGAAAGGATGTGACAAGTGCCTTGAAGAGTGGAGCAACAAAACAGAACAGAGAAAATCATTTGAACAGTGGTATGTAAAAACGTTTAAGGAATGCGTGTAGAAAGCCTGTGACCGACATGTGAACGAAATGACGGGGTTGTTGTACACCCCTTGTTATATGCACTTTGGCGCAATTGATATTTTGGCGGGAATTCAACGGCTCCATTGGTTTGACCAGAATCCGTGAACTGGTCACGGCGCGGACACAGAACAGAACCTACTCCACCTTGCCTCTTCAGCAGGTCTGGCCGGACAACCAAGACCAAGAAGACTCGCGACCTGGCTCGGCATGGAAGCCCCGACGCCAAAATGATTTTTCTCATTTCTGACTCGCGGGAGGGCTTTGCCGCGTCGGGTCTGTAGGGTGAATTTGCAAAACTGAGGCAATCCTCGCCGTCAATCTGGCAGATCTGCCAGACCTAAATCCCCTCCCCTCGCAAGAATCAAACCTTCCGTGATTGAAACCTTGGAAGTCGACATTTGATGCTGTACTCTCTCTCCCTCGCTCTTCCCTGTCTGAAATGCGAACCGACCAGCAGCACTGATTCGCCTCACTCATACATCAGGAGGTCGGTCCGAGACATGGCTGTGATGGCGGCGAAGGATTACCACGGGTAGGTCTCACGATGATGATCTAGCTTCGCCGTACCTAGTGGTTCCTAGCGATGGATGTTTGCGTCCCGCCACATTTTCGGGGCTGAGAAGGCGGTGCTCTAGAAAACAAATGGCTCTTGGTCATCGACCCGATTTTCGCATGGGCGGCGGTACACTAGTAGGAGCTGCTGTAGAGTCTGTCGCTAGGAAGCGTGCGTCGCTCGTCCAATACTGTATAGCGTAGGGCTTTTCGTAGGCAGGCTTCACTATTTAATATGACCTTTTAGTACTGGCCACTTCAACTGGTGGGAACTACCTTAGCCAGGGTAGATTGGAATAAATAAGGATGCAGAACTGTTTGTGAGTTCCTAACGGTTCCAGCACGGTCCATCCTCGCCTCAGTCACTCTCATTACATACACCACTAAACCATTTCCGAGCCATTTCACTCTAGACTGGGCCACCTGTCGCACTCACGGATGTATGGGTTTCTCTTCGCTCTTTCTGTAGCACTCTCTGCTCTCCTCCTTAACTCCGCATTTACTCCAACTCTCGCATTAGGGAACACGGACGCCTCGCATGGCGACAGAGTCAGCAGGTCGGAGTCCGTTCTTAGAGGTCACCGGCAGGAACGAAGGATGCGGGAGTTGACCGAAGAGGCATCGAGCGATTGCGGAAATATGCGAGTGTGCGTCAATCGCACGGCTCTCGACGACTATGTCGCACGGGAAGATGACAGCTATAAGTACGTCGTTAACCAGAATTTCTATGCCTCTTCCTTTTCAAAACTCGTTCCTGTACTTGGAAAGCTCAAGGCTCGGCCCGAGTTCTACGTGTCTCTTTCGAGCTGAGTGATGATGCGCATCAATGGCACATTATTCCACAGATTTTCTTGCTTCCTCGTTTCACAATCCAGTATTCCGCCGCACCCACCCACTCACCCCGTCCACTTCTGGCCTTCATACGATCCTCCTCCGTCCCTCCTCTTTCTATTATCCACCCATATCACTGATTGTGTCGCTGACCGCATCGTTGACCGCATCGTTGACCGCATCGTTGACCGCGCCGTTGACCAACAGCTGGTACGACACGGGGTTCCGCATCCAGGGGAGGGTGGACGCGCGGTACGGCGGCGGCGAGTGGACGGGGATCGTGCTGAACATGACGTCGCAGCGATGGCTCAATGCCTCCGTCACCTCCTGCAGCCTCTGGTGGCATTACCTGCTGCTCCTGGTGTGTGGAGAATTCTCAAAAGTAATACCAAGAGAATTCTCAAAAGTAATACCAAGAAAAAATCTCCAAAGTAACACCAACGCCTCCTTCACCTCCTGCAGCATCTGGTGGCACTACCTGCTGCTCCTGGTGCGTGTGTGATCGTTTTTCGTCCTGATCCTGGTCGGTTCCATTTCTGAAGCGCTTACAGCCTCTGGTGGCTCTGCCTGCTGCTCCTGGTTCGCTTGGCTCCTCCATCCTTCCTTTCCACACGCCACAACGACCCTCCAACCTCGTGGAACCGCTTGGTACCGTAATGATTTCCCCATCGAGCCCCTTGTTTCCTCTCCCGCAATGATTTCCCCATCCATCTGTCTCCTCCCCATGCTGTAATTATGCTTTCTCTCACGCCCTATCCTCTCCTCTCCTCCCATCTTCCACGTGTCTTCATTCTCTTCCACCAATCACCGCATCATCTTACCCTCTTCCGCCTCAGGTCCCCAGGCGCATACCCAATGCGCCTCGGGGCACGGCGCTACTCATGCTGGCGGCGGGGCGGAACTCAGGCGGCGGGGGAGGAGGCGCGGGGGACGCGGACGGTCCCGCGGACGCGGATCCGGAGGAAGCGGACGATAGCCGGGTGTGGAGCGCGGGGGGCGGGGGGGGTGCGAGCGCGCGGAGCGCGGGGGAAGCAGGGGACGGGACGGATGGGGGGGCAGGGACGGGAACAGAAGGCGCAGGTCCGAAGATTGTGGATGCTGGGTTGCTTCCACAAGCTGACGACAGCTTTGTTGTCATTGCCGCCGCGTAAGCAGTCTCGTCTCCCCCATAAACAAACCCCCACCTCCCCCCTTCGAGCCGGAATTCTCCTCTCTCGCACTCCTGTTCCTCCTCACCGTTCTAACCCGGCCCATCCTCTCGCGTCCAATCTGCTCTCACCCTCTCTCCCCACCTCCTCTCACAGGCTTGCTGTGCAGGCGGGCACGCTAGGCGCCGTGCTGTTCCAGGTGCCGAACCAGCCGTGCACCGTCCGCACCAACGGCACCACAGAGCCGTCCCTCTCAGAAGACTCGCTCGTTGCAGGTGCGTGCGGCGGAGAGGGGGGGATGGTTGGGCAGGTTCGTACGCACCAACTGAGGGCCACAAATGTGACTTTTGAGTCGACTCAAAAGTCACATGGTTGGGCAGGTTCGTACGCACCAACTGGGGGCCACAAATGTGCCCTGGGAGAGATACACAAGCACGGTTGTGGGACGTAAAGGACAGGCGTGCTGTCCCACGTGGACAGATGGCCCTTTTACCAGTTGACCAGTTCTCCTTCGCAATAGGGGGGTAGATGACGTTGACCAGTTCTCCTTCGCAATAGGGGGGTAGATGACGTTGACCAGTTCTCCTTCGCAATAGGGGGGTAGATGACGTTGACCAGTTCTCCTTCGCAATAGGGGGTTAGATTACATTGACCAGTTCTCCTCGCTCTGTGACCACCTTGCCCTCGCAACCCAACCACTTCTCCCAATCAGCCACGTGGTTTTTGAGGCGCCTCAAAAACGACCTCTCCCTCTTCGACCGTCCACCTCAACCCTCGCTCTTTGACCACCATGCCCTCGCAACCCAACCACTTCTCCCAATCAGCCACGTGGCGTCAGTTCCTGCTGAACCCCTCGGACGCGGATTGGCCGGCAACACTGCCCATGGCCAAGGCGGGAGTGCGAGCTATGGACGCGATTCAAGAGGCCGTCCCGGTCTTCTTCCCCTCCCTCGCTGTGAGTGCTGTGCTGTCCGCCTGAACGCCGCCCTGAGAGTGACCGGGTGGCCTCTGAATGTTGCCCGTTTTTGCGCGATGTTGAGCTATAAACAGAAGTCACAGCTCAGCAAATGATCTCGGTTCGTTCCCTCTGCGCTGTGACTGCTGTACCTCTGCGCTCTACTCGTTCACTTGCTGTGTGAGTTCAACCGGCAAGGGTCAACAGTCAGTCTCACGTTGTTCTCCCAGTCTCTCGCTGTACGCCTCCCGCTCTTCTCACGTTGTGGTATTCATTCCAGCCCTGATTTTCTGCGCCTCCTTCTGCAAGCTACCATCGCCCACACACTCGTCGAGATGTTTTTGTGTCTTGTCAAAACGCAACTCTAGCCTTTCAATCCAAACCCAACCCATTCAAGCGCCATCTCTTACACTCAACGCCCTTCCCCGGCCCACCCCTGCATCGCGTTGCAACGGCAGGCGACTTGTGAGAAGTTTCAATAGTTGCCCCCCCCCACCACCCTTCCCCGCCTCCGTCTCTCCACCCCCCTCAGGTGCATCGCTTTGCAGTGGCAGGCGTGAGCAAGAGGGGGCTGGCCTCGTGGGCTGTAGCAGCGGTGGATAAGGTACGTGGCTTGAACGGGACAGAGAGGCAGAGAGAACGCGGGGGAGGGGAGGGTGAGGGACGGTGAGGGACAGTGAGTGACGGTGAGGGACAGTGAGGGAGGGTGAGGGACAGTGAGGGAGGGTGAGGGAAAGAAAGGGATGTAATATGGGAGCAAGCCTGGGCTGACTTCTATGGCGTGTGGAGGATGGAACAGTTGGAAGCGAAGTAAGGAAGGGGAGGCGATGGTGTGGGGTGACATGGAACGATGCTGATGATGATGATGATGATGATGATGATGGGAGGTCTGAAGTCTGTGCTCGTGATGGGTTAATGCTTGTAGAGATAAAGGGAAGGCGTATTATCAGATGGCCTGTGCGCTGTGTGTACCCTTTGGTTCCGTTGTGGCCGTAGGTAGCACCACAGAGCTCCGAGCGGGCCAGGCCCTAGGAAGCGAGACAGACCTGTTGAAATCGCTTTGAGAATTTTTCGGAAACGAGACGGACTGCCTCTGTGACTACCGGTTGGCACGGGTGCAGCTAACTGGTAGCTAACTCCCTGGCATCGCTAGAACAATTAACCCTTATTTTCCCCTGTCTCTTGCCTCTCACTTCTCTCCCAACCCCATTCCTTTTGAGACGTCTCAAAATGTCTCTTGCCTCTCACTTCTCTCCCAACTCCATTCCTCCCCGCCCTCTCTTCCCTTCACATCTTCCGTGCCCTCTTGCACCCTAGGTCCCCTACCCCCCACCCTCGTCGATCCAACCTCTCATCACCCCTAGCGAGTGGTGGCGCTGCTGCCGTTGGGAATGGGAGCAATCAACTTCGTGGCCTCTTTGAAGCGCCACTACCAGTCGCTGGGTTGCTGGCCCATCACCTTGAAGCCCCACTTTTGAGGCGTTTCACCCCCCCTTCCCCCCTCCCTTCTTTCTCCAATCTCCCCAGAGAGTGGTAGCGCTGCTGCCGGTGGGGGCAGGAGCAATCAACTTTATGGCCTCTTTAAAGCACTACTATTAGAGTCTGCGTGGCTGGCCTACCACCTTCAAGCCCCATTTTTAAGGCGCCTCAAAACATAACCTCCCCCCCCCCCATTCTCCCCCCTATTCCCCCCTTCCCCTATCACCCCCAGCGAGTGGTGGCGCTGCTGCCAGTGGGAGCGGGAGCGATCAACTTCGTGGCCTCTCTGAAGCATTACTACCAGTCGCTGGGGGGCTGGCCCATCACCTTTTCAAGCCTTAATTTTGGGGCACCTAAAGAATTTGTGACCAACACGCCCCCCTTCCTCCCTATCACCCCCAGCGAGTGGTGGCGCTGTTGCCGGCGGGAGCGCGAGCAATCAACTTCGTAGCCTCGTTAAAGCATTACTACCAGTCGCTGAGCGGCTGGCCCATCACCTATTCAAGCCCCACTTTTGTGGGGCCTCGAAACATAACCTCTCCCCCTCTCATTCTCCCCCCTAACCCCCCCTTCCTCTATCACCCCCAGCGAGTGGTGGGGCTGTTGCCGGTGGGAGCAGGAGCAATCAACTTCGTAGCCTCGTTAAAGCATTACTATCAGTCGCTGGGCGGCTGGCCCATCACCTTCAAGCCTTACGTGGCCAATGGCGTTACCAAGAACATGCTCAGACCCAACATGCAGAAGCTCGTGGTGAGTGAGCGAGTGAGTGAGTGCGGGAGTGAGTGAGTGAGTGAGTGAGTGAGTGAGTGAGTGAGTGCTTGAACGCGGCTTCTCTGAGTCGACTCAGCGGCCTGTCCATCACTTTCAAGGCTTGAAGGTAAATACTGTTACCAAGAACATACTCAGGCCTAACACGCAGAAGCTCGTGGTGAGTGAGTGAGGGAGTGAGGGAGTGAGTCTGTGAGTGAGGGAGTGAGGGAGTGAGTGAGGGAGTGAGTCTGTGAGTGAGTTAATGAGCTGGCCTATTACGTTCAACCTCTACAATGGCGTTACCAAGAACATGCTCAGACCCAACATGCAGAAGCTCGTGGTGAGTGAGTGAGTGAGTGCGAGAGTGAGTGAGTGAGTGAGCGAGTGCGAGAGTGAGTGAGTGAGTGAGTGAGTGAGTGAGCGAGCGAGTGAGTGAGCGAGTGAGTGAGTGAGCAGGCGAGTGAACGAGCGAGTGAGTGAGTGAGTCATTGCTGCTTGTCCTGTGCCTTTCATGTCCTGCCTTGTCGCCTGTCTCTGTATTGAGCCTAATCATAAGCTGTGCGGGCCACTGTGATCAAGCCCCCCCAAGTCTCGACCCCATCACGAGTAGACTACTTGCGTGCAATTCGCGGAGAGACAGGACATGAAAGCTCAACTGCTCCCCCACCTCTCCCCCACCTCTCTCTAAACTCTCCCCCACCTCTCGCCCACCTCCCCCCGCAACACGGCAGGCCATCACGGATCCGTACAGGTACCGGCATCGCTACAGCATGCCGAAGCTGCTGCTGTTTGGCGCCAATGACGAGTTCTTCATGATTGATGACACGTGAGTAATGGGGGGCTGGGGACATGGGGGCCATGGGACATGGGGGGCATGGGACATGGGGCAAAGGGCGTTCAATGTGCCGCTAAACCGAAGCTGCTGCTGTTTGGCGCCAACGACGGGCTCTTCATGATTGATGACACGTGAGTCGTATGGACCTAAACATGTGTGCCATAGGGGAGGGGACATGGGACGTGGGAATGGGACATGCATGCACCATGCGAGATCCGTATTTTCAACCATGCCCCATCCACCATGCACCATGCACCATCCACCATGCACCATGCACCATGCACAATACACCATACACCATCCACCACGCACCATGCACCATGCACCATACACCATACACCATACACCATGCACCATGCACCATGCACCATCCACCACGCACCATACACCATACACCATGGACCATACACCATGGACCACATCCCCTCCTTCCCCACACCCCCTCCTTCCCCACATCCCCCCCTTCCCCACACCCCCTCCTTCCCCACATCCCCCCCTTCCCCACACCCCCTCCTTCCCCACATCCCCTCCTCCCCCCGCTTCCCCTCACAGCTACTACTTCTACTGGGACATGCCCGACCCCAAGTTTCTGCGCATTATGCCCAACCAGGAGCACATGCTCCTGCAGAACAACCCCGAGGTGAGGGAGGAGAGGGGAAGGGAGGGGAAGGGGACGAGAGAGCGGCAGTTTGAGAGTGTTTTGAGCTGGCTGGGAAGGGACCAGGAGCACATGCTGCTGCAGAACAACCCCGAGGTGAGGGAGGAGGGAGGGGAGGAGGGAGGGATTGATGGAGGGGTTTAGATGCCATAGGATTGCCCACCTACAGCGCTCTGTTGCCACTACTGCCTTCAATTCAGTCGAAGTTACTATTGAGCCTACTCTCACTTTTATCTTTTTTCTTTAACTTGCTTCCTCTTGGGTTCCCTCGCACTTGGAACCGCATCAGGTGATTCTCTCCGGCATCCCTTTCTACTCCTCCATTGTCTTCTCCACCGCTCTGCCTCCCTCTCCACCCCCTTCCACACTCCCCTCCTCCGCCTCGCCATCAACATCACCAGCATCAGCAGCACCACCATCATCACCATCATCATCACCTGCATCGCAAACAGCAGCAGCAGCGGCAGCAGCAGCCACTAGCACCGGTCGCCCTCTCAGCGTCCGATCGCGGGGTTCACAGCCAGACTGGCCGCAGCTCACATGGTACCTGAACATGCCCGGCGCTGCCATTGAGGGCACTATGGACCGACGCCCCACCAAGATTAGGGCGTGGTGAGTGTTTCGTAAGGTGGGCTGGGGTGAAGTGGAGTGTTGTAGGTTGCGGGTTGTGATTGAGTTTGTGAGTGGTTGCGGGATTATCAGCCCGACTAGCCCTGGCGCTGCAGTGGAGGAGACCACAGACAGACGGCCTGTCAATCAGGGCATGGTGAGTAGTGTGGTGGTGACTGGCTGGGTTTGTTTATGGTAGGGCGTGGTGAGTGTTTCGTAGGGTGGTGAGTGATTTGTAAGTTGTCGCGGGGCTCTCACAGCCCGACTGGCTGCAGCTCACATGGTATTTGGACATGCCAGCGGGCACTGCTATTGAGGGCACTATGGATCGTGGATCGTCGCCCCATCAAGATCAGGGCGTGGTGTGGTGAGTGGTGGTTGTGTAATTACACTGTGGCTCTAATGGCAGCTTTTGAGTCGACCCGATAACTATCTGCCAAGATTAAGGTGTGGTGAGTTGTTGTTGAGGCGCCTCAGAAGGCATGGTGAGTGGTGCGGACCGCCCTCACCCGTCCTTCCCCAATCTGTTCCTCCCTTCCTCCCTCCCACACCACTCCCTCCCTCCCCAGGTACTCCCGCTCTGCTCGTCGCTATGTTCGCCAGGTCAGCCTCCTCACCTCCCTCCCTCCCCACTCTGTTCCTTCCTCCCTCCCACCTCCCTCCCTCCCCAGGTACTCCCGTTCTGCTCGTCGCTACGTGCGCCGGGACTTCCGGTGGATCGTTGGAGGTGCCTCCGCCACCTGGTGAGTAGGGCGGAACGGGATGTTGTTAGGCGCTTACTGGAAGCGTCGTGTATTACAAGTGACTTGCGCTCTCTCATTGGATCGTTGGAGGAGGGGCCTCCGCCACCTGGTGAGTGATTACTGGATTAATGGAGAGTGCTCTTATGGTACTCGTCCTCTGGAAACACCAACTCACTTCTGCTGGACCGTTGGATCGTTGCAAGGGCCTGTGGATCATAACTGCCACCTGAAGGGTTGTGAGAAATGGGAGGGGGGGGGGGCACTTGTGGGGGAAGGAGCGGGTGTTGAGGCGGGGGAAGAAGAAAGGGAGGATGCAAGGGATTGGACTGGTTAAGACGCGTTACTTTCCCAATCATCTCCTTCCCACACATGCTCTTTCATTAAGTACTGCCTCTAATCTCAATGCACGGCTTATGTTTGCTTCGCTCTACCCCGTGAAATCCGGTCCCCACCCCCTTCAGCAAGTCATATCAACCCCCTTCCATCCCCTCCCACCTGCAGCTTCCTCGAGTCCACTCAGGTGTCATTATTGGGCGACCTGTGTCCGCATGCACTCTTCCACCCAGTGCCTGTGCCACCCCACCAAACCTCTCCTGCTACACCTCTCTCCCATTTCCACCCTCTTCCACCGCCTTCCACCCACCGCCTCCCCCTTGCAGCTTCCTCAAGGTCACCCAAGTGCCGCTGCTGGGCGACATGTGTCCGCAGGCAGTGCTCTTCCAGCCGGTGCCTGTGCGCCCCCACAAAGCTTCCTGCTACACCTTGCACCCCTCTCCACGCCCTTCCAACCCGTTCCACCCCTTTCAATTCCCCCTTCTGCCTTGCAGCTTCCTCAAGGTGACTCAGGTGCCGCTGCTGGGCGACCTGTGTCCGCAGGCAGTGCTCTTCCAGCCGGTGCCTGTGCGCCCCGCTTACAGCGCCCTCGACCGCCTCTGGCACTTCCGCGCACGCATCACTAACTTCCCCAAGGTAGGTACCGTGTGTGCTGCTTGCCTTTGGGTCGCTGTATCGTTACGGGCTTTTGAGTTGATAAAAAGTACTGTAAAGCAAAACCTTGACTGCCTCTGGCTGGCACTTTCATGCCGAGATCCTCCCCCGAGGTACGGTGCCATTACACACGCCTTCGCATGACTGGCCACATGTAAATGCCAGTCTTTCTTCCCTTGATTACACTTTCCCTCCGTCCTTATCCCACACAGGTCGGCTACAAAGCTATTTTTGTGGAGGTGGAGTTTCCACCGTTGCGGCCGTCTGGTAACAACATAACCTTGACAACAGAGGCACTGGTTGTGCCTAACAGCTTTCCATTCTCGTACTGCACAGGCTCGAAGTGTGATATGCGCCTCGTGTAGTGTAGGCTGGTGAGTGTACTGCACACTGCACGCTCTACAGTATGTGTGACTGTTGGACCATTAATGTATTTTATGCGCTTCGATTTTTTGCTACTCCAATCCAAATGGGTGTGATGGTAATTCGCAAAGGAATCAAATAGAGTGTATTCCTACTCTAGTTATTTTCTTACCTCGTGATTGACCCTGCTTCAGTGTGATTCTACACAAATATAACACTTCATTGACGTATCATACCAATATGCACCCTAAGCATTTACAGAAGTGCTGCTGCTCTACAACCAGACCGTTTAACACAAGTGTATGAAGTGCCATTAATGGTGTATCAATCACAGGCCCTCCATCACCTTCGCCACCACTTGCTCGTCCATTTTAAACTGCGAGGGAGAGAGAAAGAAGCAGTTTGGCGAAGGAGGGGCATGTGAGAGATGAATTGAATGCATGCGATCATGCCAGTGCATGTGTGCACACCGCACCGCGCATGAGATGATTGATTGGTATGATGCGGATAGACAGCACACAAGGTTGCAGTATGAAGGTGGCACACATGGTACCATAGGATGGGTTGCCTTGCCGTATTCACCCCACAGTTTCACCACACCACCAACATCTCACATCCTGTCTTCTGAGCTTCGAAAAACCGGCAGAGTCTAAGGAGGGATGTGTGGTGCGGTGTGGGACACAGGCAGCCCACAATACACTGCCCTCAGCAAGTTGCTCTCTCTCCAGGGTTCATCCCTGGTCACAGAGGAGATCCAAAATACACACCTTCATGAGGCGCCTCAAAAGTCCTCCACTCACAATACAGAGCTCTCAGCAAGCTGCTGTCTGTCCAGAGTTGGCCTTTAAAGCCTATCCCAACTGGTCAGCTCATCTCGGGAAAAAAATGCGACTCTAAGACACACCAGAGCGTCACCACCACCATGCCGCCATGCCCCCATGCCGCCATGCCGCCATGCCGCCATGCCCCCATGCCGCCATGCCCCCATGCCACCATGCCCCCATGTAACCATGCCCCATGCCCCAGTATCACCATGCCACCATGTTATGGTGTCACGCCATGCAGACGCAACCCGTCAGGCCCCACCTTTTGCGCCACCCACTTGGTGTGCTCCGCGCCCCGCCGCGTCATGTCCGCCGCGCGCTCCGCGTCGCTCTCGTCGCGGAACGCCGCGAAGTTCTCCCGCGCGTACTGCGCGTAGTACGGCCGCGCGTCCGCAGGAAGGCGCCGCGCCAAGCGCAAAATGCGGCGGTAGAGGTGCAATGGCGCCGGCGCGGACGCCGCCATTCGTGCGCGACGCGAGTCCCGAATTAGTCGCTCAACCAAAAATCTGCGGCAAGTTGCTGTCAGGGGAAAACAAAGATCGCAGCGCTTTCAAACTTTTTGCTCCTGTTAGATAATCTGAGAGGTTGTAACAGCACGAGAAGATCTGAACGCGCGGTAAGCTAAGCTACTGGACGGGGCGCGGAGGAGATTCTGAAGTGCGGCGAAATCCAACCATGGTGTCACCCTACTGTTGAACGCGCAGCGGTATTGCCGTGGTTGTGATTGGTTGATTCTGATCTGAGTGATGATGATGTAGCGATTCTCCGTGGGGTGGGGGGAAGGGGAAGGGGGGAGTGCGGGAACGGATGGGGGAGAGGAGTGCAGCGGGCATGACTCGTTATCAACATGTGCTTGCAGCGGAGTCGAGTGTGCTGGGCTTCCCTATACTCTACATTACTTCCTGTTAACCGAATTCATGATGCTAGAAAGAAGCACATTTTTCTGGTAAGATGCGTTATTTTGTACAGCAGCGGAGGTTTGACTAATAAATATCAAACTAATTCATTTCCAAGGCCCTTTTCGTCTCAAGCCCCTCATTATCCCCTCCCACCACCACCACCGTCGTCCCGCTGTCTCCTCGAACCCTTTTCCTGCAAAGCCGGCAATGGCCAATGCATTACCATAAACTCACCCTCATCCCCCCCTACCTCCCCAATCCCTGATGCACTCCTTCCCCCAACCCCCCCCAAACTTGCCACCCCTCCCCCTCCCCCTCCCCCCCCCTCCACTCCTCCCCCCAGCCTCGCCCCCTCCATCCCCATCTGGTTTGGCGGCTGCCCGAAGCAACACATCAAGCATGGCAGCAGGTTCGGAGCGATGCCGAGCAAGCTGTCTCCTAGCAGCGGGCACAAGCACCAGCCCACTGCCCCTATCACTACCAACACCACCACCAGGAACCGCACTCAACCCATTCCCTCGCCTCGCCAACCCCCCTCCTCCTGCTCCCCTCGCTCCCCTTTGCACTGGCCTTGGAGGCCCCCTAGCTAGCCCAGAAACATGTGTCCTGCGCGCCCCTCCCCCTCTGCTCTCCGCCCCCCCTCCTCCTCCCCCACCCCTCCCATCCGGCCCCAATGGGGCTGAATAGAAAGCCTGGGATAGATCCTCCTCAGATTCGCTCTGCTCCGATACACTCCGTACCACCTCCCCTCGTCCCACCCTGTAAGTCCCCCCTTTAGAACCCCATGTATCACCAGGGCTACTGTTATATTCACATACATCCCCCTCTTCCTGTAGAATCAGCCTATGCCTATGCACTTGCCGCCTCTCATCCCTCTCATCCCTCTCATCCCCTTCCTCCCTTTCATCCCTGTCATCCCCCTCACCCCCCTCACTCCCCTCCACGCTATAACTCCTACTCGGGGGAACCAGCCTCCCCCTACTCCCCCTCCTCCGCTCTCCCCCCACCTCTCGCTCCCCCCCACCCTCGCCCCCACCATACTCCCCCCCGGAAGCTCCCCTGATTGCTCTGCGCCTCGAACTACTGGGGCCGGGGGGAGGGGTTTTGGGCGAAGGGGTGAAAGCCCCACCCTCTAAGGTCTGACTCCTGCGCATACTGTGCGAAACAGCGACAGGAGAGGCAGCGGCAGGGCCGGTAGGAGAGGAGGTAGGAGAGGGGGAGGGGACGAGGTGCGTGGAGTTTGAGGGGTGGGTATTGGCGGACTGTGGGTAGAAGGAGGAGGAGGATGAGGAGGAGCGGGGAGGAGGAGCGGGAGGGGAGGAGGTTGACTCAGTAGCCCAAGAGAACACATCTGCAGCCAGAGGTTTCCGTCTATGGAACCTCTCTGCTCCTGCAGCCACTGTCCCACTGCCCACAAACCCGGCTCCTACTCTTCCCACCCCCCCTCCTCGAAATCCCGCTGCCCCTGCTCCTCCTCCTCCTCCTGCTCCTCCTCCTCCCCCTCCTCCCCCTGCTGCTCCTACTGCAGAGGTCCTCCCACCCGTAGGCCCCCAGGTCTGGCACCTGGTGAAAGAATAATTAGCAGGAGCCGTCGGATCATCTGCAATGCTGCTGCTGCTCCTATTCATGCTCCCCCCACCACCACTGCCCTCGCTGCTGTCCCTACCGCCACCGCCGGTGCTGTCCCTGTTGCTGCTGCTGCCTCCCCTGCCGCTCTTCAGAGCAGCGAGTCTCAGCCTTCGTCGCTCAGCAGCGGCAGCTAGAGCCCTCTCCTCTTCACTTCCTCCTCTTGCCCCCCTCCTCCCTCCTCCACCCTCCCCACCCTCCTCTTCCTCCCTCTCTTCCCATCGATCCCCCACATCCGTGCTCCTATCCCAGTCCGAACCTCCTCCCGTACCTGCTTTCGATTCCCCGTGCCTTGCCGCTGCGCCGCTGCGTGCGGAACTGAACTCCCTTCCTGCCGAAGCTCCTGCTGAACCTCCTGCCGAGCCTCCTGCCGAGCCTCCTGGCCCCACAACCGCAGCATACATGGCAGAAGCGTCTGCCACTTCCGCTTCCTGCATGAGCCTCTGCTCCAAAGACTGCACCCGCACGAGCCTAGACGGGGTTACCAGACCTAGCGAGTTGGCCGGGATGGAAACCGCCCCTTTGCCGAGCCTAGCGTAGTTCGAGGCTCGGTCCTGCAGAGGTCCACCCTTGGGTTGCCCCTTGTTTCCACCCACTCCACTTCGACCACCAGCAGCAGCAGCCGCAGCCGCAGCAGCAGCAGCAGCACCAGCGGCGGCAATGGCAGGAACAGCAGCAGCAGCAGCAGCTTCTCTTCGTGCATCCGTCCTGCTACCACCAGCAGCAGCGTGGTGTTGCAGCCCCAGGGGGCTCCTACGCCCCGTCCCGGAACCAGACGACTGGCTCTGAGGTGACTTGCTGTTGGGGTCGCTGGCACTCGTGGTGGGTGCAGTGACATTACTGCCAACACCATCAGCACCATTACTATCACCGCCGTTATAGTCACCTTCCCCATCATCACCCCTATCCCCGGTACTAACACCGTTGCTACCACCTTTTCCTCCAGCATCCCCCCTCTCATCCTCCTCCTCCTCCTCCTCATCCTCATCCTCGGAATCGATCAGCGAAAGCACAGACGTGAAAGCCCCACTGACCTCCTCCTGTGCCCGAACCTCCCCATTTGCACCATGCCCCATTCGCCTGCTGCTGCGCGCCCGCCCGCCCCTGTGGGAGTGAGACATGAGCACCTCTCCTGAGTGCTCCAGGCCTAGCATCAGCCGCGCCGGCACCCCCGGATGCATTCCCGAATGCGGGACGGCGTCAGGTGTTTCCTGCTGCTGCTGCTGCTGCTCCGCCTGCTGCTGCTGCTGCTGCTGCTCCTGCTGCTCTCGTCTGTTGGATAACGCGTTATCATGACAAAAATTTGCACCTCTAAGAGGGGATGCCACACCTGGACCGACCCTTTCTCTGTCTCCATCCTCCTTCCCTTCGACTACCTCTTTTTCTTCCTGCATATCCAACTCTACCCTGCCTGCTGTTTCGTCTGCCATCCTCCCTGCCATCACCCCTCGTTCTGCCTCCGTATTCAAGCTACAGTGCACCTGTGAATCCGCATTTTCTAAATCTGCATCTTCCGACCCTGCATCCCCCAAACCCGCATTTCCCGAGCCTTCATTCTCCAAACTTTTACTTGCTCCCTTCTCCCCTTTCACCACCTCTCCCCATTCCAACACCTCCCCCCCCTCCACCGCCTCTAACCCTAACCTTCCGCCTGCTCCTGCTGCTGTTGTTGCTGCTGCTGCTGCTGCTGCTGCTGCTACCGCTGCTTCTGTTGCTGCTGCAACTGCTGCTGCACCCATCCCGGGTCCCCGCTCCTCGTCTCCTCCACCACTGCTCAGCCTGGCAGAACCAACAGCCGGACAAACAGGATTGCTTGCTGCTTCTGCATCACCTGGCGGCAAACTCAAGGAAGAAGCAGCATCCTGTTTTGATTCTAGCAGCTGCTGCTGCTGGTTCTCCACTGCTCGCGTTTCCAGACTTTGCGAATCCTGCCGGTCTTCTGTACCAGCAGTGGCGCCTGTTGCACACACGGAATCAGAATCACCCGCCCCCTCTCTGCTCTCCACCGTGCAGGCAACAGCGCTTGAACTCCCCCCAACCTGTCTCCGCTCGTTACTGTCACGGTCACCCCCGGGATCAGCCTCCCTAGGCCCCACCTTGCCAGCGTCGCGCCCTTCAATTGAAGCACATTCTGCAATGCCGCACTCCTCCTTTCTGTCGGAACCTCCTTGCCCTTGAATCACCCCCCTCTGTGCTGCAAAAGCACCTGATGCGTCTCCTGCACACTCTGCCGCCCCTCTTCCCACTTCTCCCGCTCCCCTTGCAACCTGTGCCGCCCCCTCGGTGTTAGAACGCCCGCCTACCACCACCACACCTAGTTTACCACTCTCCTTCAACCCATCACCATCCGGGAACTCAGACGCTCCCTCCACTTCTCGACCTCCTCCCTCCGCGTCTCTATCATTCCGCACCCAACCGTCCGCTTTCCGCCTCTCAACCCCCTCTCTTCTCTCCCCGCCCAGCCCCGCCGATCCAACCCCCCCTGCACCGCTCTCAACCTTTTCCGCCCCGTGCCCCTCGTCGCCCTTATCCGCCGCCCCTCTACCCCATTTCCCCGTCACCTTCCCTTCCGCCTCTCCTCCCCTCTCCCACTCCCCCTCCTCTTCTTCCTCCTCTTCCCCCTCCCTCTCCCCTTCCTCGCTCGTCCGCGCCAGGCGCACCGCTTGGTCCGCGGCTGCGCCCATGTCCTGCCTGCTCGACCCCGTCCCCTCACGCCCGCTCCCCCCGCCGATGCTGTGCCACAGCAGGTGCTGCGCGTCGCGGATCGACGCCGCCGCGCGGCTGCTGCTGCGCGTGAGCGCCGCGCGGGTGAAGCGGAGGGAGGCGGAGACCGGATTCGCCCACGCGCCCAGCGTGTTATCCTCCGCCGCCTCCCAAACGTCCCGCGCGCGCCCGTCGTCGTCTTCCGCCTCCGCGTCCTCCGCGCGGGTGCCGCCGCCGCCGTCCCGCTGCTGCTGCTGCGGGGAACGACTCCGGAACCACGACTGCCATTGCCGCTGCTGCCCCTGCGCCTGTCCCTGCGCCTGTCCCTCCGCTTGCTGCTGCTGCTGATTCCCAGCGCCCAAGTTTCGCTTAAGAGCGCTGCGCCGCAAGGGGAAGGCTTCAATTGCGCGCAACCTGGAGTCCGCGGATGCCGCAGCAGGGGGAGGGGGAGGGAAACACGACGCTGCAGCCGCATCAGGCGGAATGGCCGGGGTTGTACCTGCTTCAGCAGGAGCTGACGTGGCTCCAGCTGACGTGGCTTCGCGCTGTTGGTGAACGCCATTCCCAGGAGCAGTGTTTTCGCCGCCGCATGGTTGCGGCCCTCTGGAAGATACCTCGTCGCTGTTTTCCTCGTCGAAGATTTCTTCGTCCGGGGGGCAAAAGCAGCTCATACGTGTGCCTCTTAAAGCCCGGGTGACTTTTGAGTCGACTCGAAAGTCCTCTGGCTTTAATTGGCTTTCCTCCGGCTTTAATTGGCTTTCCTCCGCTCCTTGTTTTTTGAGACCGGACTAAGACCAGAGTCAAGACCCCGACCGGACGAACAATCGCGAAAGAGATTCAAAGGGGCGAAACTTCTGTCACGAACGCGGAAGGCAAAGTATCCTTGTAGCGCCGAAACCCCCTTGCAGGTGCGTTTTCCTCCTTTGAGAAACGAACAGCTTCTTTTGCTGCTTAGCTCAACTCCCCACCCGTCCTGGACATTCCCTAAGGCGACGACCAGGAGATTAATAGGCGCGACTGAATCAGAAGGATGATGAAGCCCTTTAACGATGCGCATTGCTCGTCTTGTATAAGCCGGAAAACTGTGAGAGTCCAGGTTAGTTCATCTAGGAAGCGCCTAGTAGGGAATGCGACGCTGCTGGCCGGTTCGCACCGCAGCGACCAACAAACCAACGATGCGGGTCATGCAAAGCATAGGCTAGTCGTCAGTCGTAACGCTAATCCACAGCCCTACTTCCTGGCAGTACCGACGGGCATGGCTCGAAATTGTTAGTGCGTCTCATGATTGATCTCAAGAAGCTGGTCGGAAAATTGGGTGGGAGGAGGTACACTATACTGCACCCTTTTCGGGCGGATTTTCAGACTGACCGCCAATTTCAGGCAGGTCTCATTCTTTCGGGCGGATTTTCCCTCTCTGGGAGGGAAGGGAAGGGAAGAACCTGTGGTACAAATCAAATTGTCTTCACAGTTTGAAAATAGAATCACTTTGAACGGGGTCTACATGTCGAAATGTCTTCTCCAGGGCTGTCGCTACCAGGGCGTTTGCCCTGCTGGACCTTGAATTCCAGGGCTAGGTCGCCCTTGAAAACTGAAATTGATGGGTTGAAAAAAATCTGGCCCCGATTCCTTCCAGGGCTGTTTTCGGTCTTAGGTCTGGTGTGAAAGGGTAGAATTAAGGCGAACCCTGGAACAAAATATTTCGAGTCCTCCCTCCCAACTCCTCCACTCCCCCCCCCCCCCACCTTTCTATCCTCGTTGCTTCCAACCTGGCAAATTTGGAGTTGCGTGGTTGAGCCGAAAATTCACTCGACCTTGCTGTAAGCTTCGTAGTTGAAATTAGGCTGCAGACTTTTCCGCGCCAAAACTGTTTTAAGGGAGGAAAGTTTTCCAGCCCTGAAGCCTAAAGGGCCGAGATTCGCCCCGACCCTGCTAAATACAGGGTCGTACATGCCGGGCCCCCTGATTTGTCCGGGGGCCCCAAAACGAATCGACAGCCCTGGTCTTCGCAGTTTGAAAATAGCAAAACTGTAATGGTGGAGCCAGTACAGTAGAACTCAGCGCCCCCAAAACTTGTGGTCCGAGCCACTGGGATGCAGGAGGGTTCGACTAGCAGGTTGGAGGTGCTGGAGTGTAGTGGGTGGTGCAGAGGTCTGAATGGAGGTGGTGGGACCCCATTTTGCTTTGGCAAAGTTCGGCTCGGCAGCAAGGGGGTGGCTTGAACTGTTTCTGGTGTGGTTTGGCCACTGGCCCTGGGTTCAGCTGTCTTGTCAGGCTGCCACGCTGGTCCTAAAAGGCAGGTGTGCAGCGAACGAAGGGCACGGGTTGACGAGGCAACTCGGTACACTAGATGCACTAGATGCGATGTAATTTAGGGCGTGTAACCATTTTGACTTTTTTTTTTGGCGTTTTTGCGGACGGTCCTCATTTTTTTAAACGGACGGTCCAGCTCACGAGAACAGAACCGTCCGTTTTTACGTTTCGGTTTTTTCCCACCGTCCGGATAGGAAAGTGACACTTTTTTGCTTGTTCATCATTTCGCCGAGAACTGTAGCTTCGTTAGAGACGGTGTACCTTCGTAGCGTAATGCGAGAAAGCTCGTTATCTGAGTTCGTCCGCCAATCGGACAAGGTACTGTAGATTGGGTTTCGCACGCCAATTTCTAGACAGGGCTGGCGGACTGTCCGAATTGGTTTCAGACTGTCCGCGGTTCACATTCTGAACCGTTGAAAGAAGGAAAAAGTGTCACCACAGTTCGAATTGTTGGCGACGTCGCACAACCATTCACGAAAGCCTAAACGAGAAAGCGCGAAACAAGTAACCTTTTCGTCAACCGGACGGTCCACGGCTCGAACCGTCGGGAGCAAAATGGTTACACGCCCTTAGACATTATGCTGCGAGATAATGAGTCCCTGGCTTATGCAGATTGAACATCTAAATCATGCTTACGCACCAGCACCACATAGTACATATCATCCCCCATCATTAAACAGTCACAAGTTGATCAAAGTCTCTTCGTAATTAAAAAGGATCCAATATTCGAAGTCACAACAGTACGGTAACATATGAGCCAGCTAAGTTGAGAATACAAAGCATGCATCAAAGTACACAATGGAATAAGGACAGTACAACACAACAATAACACGATGAAGACGTACAGGAATTTAGCACAATAACCATGTCCGCTGCTGCGGCTTTCAACAGCTCAAAGGCGTTCAGAGGCTCAGAGCCCATGCCCATTATTATCCGAAGTGAGGGGCGGCCGCAATAGCCGCCTCTTATTCTGGCTACGAAGCACCAGATGTGGCGCGGGAAAACCACTTATTCATCAGCCGCCTATGCCCTCGCCGGCCCCGAAAGCCCACCATACATACAGACGGTAACCCGGTAACGGCGATACGTTTACAACAACCCTGACTGCTCCGCTCATGAGCGTTCAGCAAGAAGGCACCAATGCTCTCAGCGGACTCGTTGAATCAAGGACGAGTTAAGAGACTCGCGGAGAGTGCTATTACTGATCGACGTAAGCAGACTGCACGGCGACGAGATGAGAGTCAAATTCCTCCTCCGACGGGAGAGGAAGCAGCGAGGGGACAGCGGCGTGATCGAAACCCGCACCCTCTTCGTGGTCAGCGTGGCAATCGTAGCCGTCGTGCTCTGCTCCCCACGACGCGCTGAAATCGTGGACCGCGCGAGGCGACGTCCAGGTAGGCGACACGCCGGAATCAGAAGAGTCCTCATAGACGGACGACACCGGCGCGAGGTTCATGGACGAGAGGTGAAGGTCAGGGGTCGGTATGGAGATGCTGCCGTGAGATGCGGTGGGAGACGAGACTGGAGACTCGCAGTGCGAGGCTTCGTTGTCGACGGATGTTTTAAGCGAGGATATCATAGAGGCGATGGAGTTAATCTGCTGCTGCTGCTGGTTCTGCTGGCTCTGTTGAAGCAGCTGCATCTTGCAGTGGTTAGAAGCGGAGGAGAGGAGCGCCATGCGATGCATATACAGCTGTGCGTTCTGCTGTCGCTGCTGCTGCAGCAGTAGCAAAAGCATCTGCCGCTGCTGCTGCTCCCACTGCTGCTGGGCAGGAGTCATCGCGGCTGCCATCGCGAGGCTCGACATGGATTGTTGCGCCGCGAGAAGCGCCGCGGCGGATGCGTTCGCGGAAGACGGTGTTAGACCCTTTGCAGCGGCAGCGGCAGCTAATTGAGCTCGGCGAAGCTGTTCGGCAAGAGCATAATTTGCCAATGCTGCTTGGTTTGATTGCGACGCGATGGGATCCAAGAACACACCTCCGCATGCGTTCCGGTTTTTCGTGTGAGATGAAGCGGCTGCCAACTGCTGGAGAATCATCGCGTTGGAGCTGCAAGCGTCCTCCATTCCGTGCGAGTGCGTCTAAAGCTCCGAGGTTCTAAACTCTGAGAGAACGGGCCAAACCCTAGCAACGACGGCAACTGACAATAATGCAGAGGCGGAACAGTCGAGAAGCTGGAGAGCTGAGCTTAGGAGCGGAAGAGAGGGTTGAGATGAGGTGAGAGGCGCAGCTTGGAGGAAAGGGAACAGCTGAGGGTAAATGCAGTTGAGCGGAAGAGTTGTGATAGGGAGGGGGCAGACTGTTGTTACCAAATCCGAATGAGGTATATTTCTGAGGCTGTGCGACTAGAAGATAAAGTGTGCGACTGCGTGTGGTTGACAACGACGAATGAGCAGTCCGATGAAAGATCCCGCGACTACCCGATGCGACTTTTGACGAAAGTTTCGGAGCTGCGCGGGCGACGCGGATCGGCAATTTCGGTCTGGCAGAGGTAAGGAAAGGAGGGAAGCGGGAGGGAGGGGCAGGCAGTCGAAAAGTTTCGCCTTCAAGCTCTGCGCGTGGGCGTTTAGCCGCCAAATCATGCGAGAAGCTGCTTGCTTGATGTTGGCGCTTGCCACACCACACAGCCATCCCCCTCTCCCGACCCGATTTTCCCACCAACAACGGCGCCGAGCGCCGAGGCAAGAACGACTTGATGCCACCGAACCTCGCAACACAGCGCGCCGCAGATTTGCGGAGACTGGCAAAAGCTGGCCCACCCCACAAGCAACGATATCCAAAACTGTAGCTGCGGAGCGCCTGACTAGCGGTGCGGTGTGGCAGCGACGCGCCTGTGGGGGAACATGTTTTCTGGAATGTGACACAATCAGAGGAAACGAACCGCCACCGTTGTAGTAGTTCACCTCAGTGAGGCTAACTATTTTTCGAAATAACACGACCAGGTGTTCTAATATACATGGTATACAGTGATAACACGGCATACATAGTGTTTCTAGAATTCAGATGCAGCTCTACAAAACCAAGCGGATTTCCTTATCCATTTTTTGCTTCAAAATCAAAACCCAAATCATGTATGATTTTCTTCTCAAGTGATTAATATAATATATTGTCCTAAGGTGCGTTTCTTAACACAGACGACCTCCCCAATCCACCAACGGGACCCATGCCTGCTTGCCCAAACGAACTAGCTGTGAAGTAGCGGCCCTTCTCCAGGTCGAAAATCGTGGTCGGGATGGGGATCGGTCGGAAATATGTGCTTATAACGAACAACGTGATGACCACCAGGAACAGAGCCGTGACCAGAAGCAGAACCATGATGGTTCCTATGCTCTCGTCCGCTCGTAACGAATCAGAGGCTTTGACTCGTGCCTCGTTGCCGCGATTGACGGGTTTGGAGGGAATGGGGCGGCGCGTGATAACATCCATGAGCATTGCTCCAAGCGCCCAGTCTATGTCATGCGGTCCCACTCGGTTGGTGAAGCGAACCCTGATTGGTGGAGGGGTGAGCGGACGAGGACAAGCAGGAGGCAGGGATGAGAGTGGGCGAGAGAAACGAGGGAGAAGGGAGGGAGGAGGGAAGAGACGGAGACGACAAGTGGGTGCATGTGCATGTGCATGTGCATGTGCATGGGTGCACTGATGGGATGATGGGAAGATGAAATAATGCGTGTGCACCATGACATGCCCAGCATTTCCTGCAGTTGTGTTGATGTATATGTATACTACATACACCAGTACATTTTCATTACTCACTTGGTATCGTGCAGGGAAACCCCCAGAGCATCATGCAGAAAGGCCACAATGTAGGACGCCGAGAAACAGTACTTGCCATGCTCCTTCACCTCCTCCTCACTCACCACCACCCCACCTCCCTCCTCACCACCCCCCGCCCCCACTCCCCTTTTACCCTCCCCCGGTTTCCCTTCCCTCTTTCTCCCCGCTCCTCCTCTCATTCCCAATCCCTCTTTTCTTGACAGCTTAACAGCCGCAGCCACCACAGCACCCACAGCAGCACCACCAGACCCAGCACCAGCACCATCGCCGCGTTGACCATCACCCAGAGCCATCCCCCCGCGTTGACTATCGCCTTGTGCTTCCAGCGTGTGTTTGACACGAGCAGGAGAGGGCGGTGGGAGAATGCCCTGGGCACAGTGCCTTGTGCCTGCAGCCGCAAACTCCGCCAGGGTTGCTGTTGCTGGGAGCTTCAGAAACTGTGGGAGTGAGAGTGAGAGAAGGGCGGAATGAGAGGAGATGAAGGAACGGGTCGGAAGGGCTTGGAAGGGGTTGGAAGGGGTCGGAAGTGGTACAACTGACTTTGAACGTGTCATATTCTTCACCACAACCCGTCACCGCACCTCATCGCAGACCTCACCTCACCTAACCTCACCTCACCTCACCTCACCTCACCTCCATGTGGAAGTAACATTTAGTGGAAAAGGGCACATGTAAACTCCTATGCGCCTCAAAGGAAGCAGCTTTCACTGGAAAGACGAGAGGGTTCAGTCTCCTAAGAAGCAACTCTCCCTCTGCTTCCCCTCAGCCCCACACCACACAACCTATGACTCATCTCATCTCAGGCGTGTAAAGAGAGGTTGACTTTTGAGTCGACTCACAAGTCCCGTCTGCTTCCCCTTTGCACCACACCACACACTGCCAATGTCTCACCTCAGAGGTGTAAAAGAAGTTTTCGGTGGCAAAGAACTGCCCTCGTAGCTCTGGCACAAACACCCCGCCCGCAAAGGGGCACCGCGTGTAGGGGCAGGGCGCAGGGGGAGTGTGCTGACTGTCTGTGGGTGGTGGGAGGAGAAGGGTGAGAGGCAGGAGGGGCGAGGGGGAGGGGGAGGGGTGAGAGAGGGGAGGGGCGAGGGGGTGGGGAAGGGTGAGAAGGGCGAGGGGGAGGGGGAGGGGGAGGGGGAGGGGAAGGGGAGGGGGTGGGGGAGGGCAAGGTGAGATGAAAAAAAGGGGGAAGGGGGGGAGAGGGACGATAAGGGAGGGTGGAGGGTTGAGAGGAGGTCGGAGAGATGGGGAGAGGGGAGGAGGCGTGAGATGGGAGAGTGGCAAAGCTAGTAAGAAGAAGGGAAGGTTGAAGGATTTGCTTGAGAAAGGACTTATGTGGAATGGGATTGATTTGAAAAGGGATTCACCTGAGGAGGAATTCACCTGAGGAGGGATTCACCTGAGAAGAAATTCACCTGAGGAGGGATTCACCCGAGAAGAAATTCACCTGAGAAGAGATTCACCTGAGAAGGGATTCCCATGAGAACGGATTCACCTGAGAACGGATTCACCTGAGAACGGATTCACCTGAGAACGGATTCACCTGAGAAGGGATTCACCTGAGAATGGATTCACCTGAGAACGGATTCACCTGAGAACGGATTCACCTGAGAACAGATTCACCTGAGAACGGATTCACCTGAGAACGGATTCACCTGCGAACGGATTCACCTGAGAAAGGATTCACCTGAGAAAGGATTCACCTGAGAACGGATTCACCTGAGAACGGATTCACCTGAGAACGGATTCACCTGAGAACGGATCCACCTGAGGACGGATTCACCTGAGAACGGATTCACCTGAGAACGGATTCACCTGAAAACGGATTCACCTGAGAACGGATTCACCTGAAAACGGATTCACCTGAGAACGGATTCACCTGAGAACGGATTCACCTGAGAACGGATTCACCTGGGCGGCCATGAGTGAAGAGGCGAGTGGCCAGGTGCCTGCAGAGGGAGAAGTTAGCAGAGCGATGGTGCCCCAGCTGGTGCCCCAGCTGGTGCCCCAGCTGCTGCTGCAGCTGTTGCTGTTGTTGCAAGGGCAGACGTGGAGAAGAGAGTGCCAACTCCTTTCCTGCAGCTGCGATTGCCCCTGCTGCTGCTGCTGCTGCTGCATCTGCTGCCGCAGCTTCTGCTGCTGTAGCTCCCGTTCCTACTGCTGGTGCTACAGAGGAGGGTTTTGAGGAGGGGGTGGAGGTGGGAGGTTCGGTAAGGAGGAACGGCAACAGGTGGTGTCTGCACGGGTTGCCATGCCATAACTGCTTCTCCAATCCCAGTCTGCGTACCGCCTCTGCTGCTGCACCTGCTGCTGCTGCTGCTGCTGCTGCACCTGCACCACCAGAACCAGCGGCAGCAGCTGTAACAGCTGAACCACCTGGCTCTGATACCGCCACAGCCTTGCCATCAGCCGCATTTCCTTGCTGCTCTCTTCCCCCGACCACTCCCACTCCTGCTTTCCCATCGCCTCTGATTTCCCCTTTTCCAGCCCCTGTGTTGTTTCCTTGCACTTGCCCGTGTCCCTTCACCACCAGTTCGGTAGGCAGCGACGTGTCTGCATGCTGCTGCTGCTGCTGCTGCCCCAGCTGAAGCTGCTCCCGCTGCTGCTGTCTCTGCTCTGCGTGCTCTGCCTGCTGCCGCTGTGCAGACACAAGAGCCACAAGCGTTTCTGCTGCCTCCTCTGCTGCCTCCTGCACTCGCGTTGAGGGAGAGGGACGAGGGCAGGAACGGGATGGAGAGAGCGAGGGGTGAGGGAAGGTGAGGGAAGAGGGAGCTCATTCTTGAGTCGAATGTACAATGCGGCCACTACAATGCATCTGAATTGCTTCACTCATCCCTCTGCTCCATCTCTCTCCCACTCCCACCCACCCATGCACCCACCATCCCATGCACACCTGTTAGTACTACAGTCCAGCAACCAACAGGTCCACCCACCCACCCTACCTGACTTGAACCACCTCCCGCGCACCTGACCGTAGTGCAGGAAGCTGTGGGAGTAGAGCACGTAGCCCACACCAGCCAGGGCGACCTGTGAGGGAGCCACTGTGCACGCCAGCCAGGGCGAGCCACAGTGCTTCACTCTTCCCGTCCCCCTATCGCTCTCCCACCCACCCACCACCCCTCCCGCACACCTGGCCGTAGTGCAGGAAGCTGTGGGAGTAGAGCACATAGTCCACACCCGCCAAGGCGAGCCAGGAGGGAGCACGAACTCGCACCTGCTAGCACTACAGCCAGCCAGCCACCCTACCTGACTTGACTGCCACCATTCCCCACACGCGCACCTGTCCGTAGTGCAGGAAGCTGTGGGAGTAGAGCACATAGTCCACACCCGCCAAGGCGAGCCAGGAGGGAGCACGAACTCGCACCTGCTAGCACTACAGCCAGCCAGCCACCCTACCTGACTTGACTGCCACCATTCCCCACACGCGCACCTGTCCGTAGTGCAGGAAGCTGTGGGAGTAGAGCACATAGTCCACACCGGCCAAGGAAATGTCGTGCCGGTACTCATCTGGGGGAGGCTCATCTGGCACGAATGTGACCTGGGGGGAGTGAATGGGATGTGTGTGTGTGTGGGGGGGGGGGGGGGGGTGTTGAGACGTCTCAAGAGTCGTGCCGGTACTCATCTGGCACGAATGTGACCTGGGGGGGACATGGGGGTGGGGGAGGGGGAGGGAGAGGGCGGGGGCAGTGGGGGAAGTGAGAGGAAATTCGAGCGCCTTGCCTCAACTCAAGCGCCTTGCCGCAACTCAAGCGCCTTGCCTCAACTCAAGCGCCTTGCCTCAACTCAAGCGCCTTGCCTCAACTCAAGCGCCTTGCCTCAACTCAAGCGCCTTGCCTCAACTCAAGCGCCTTGCCTCAACTCAAGCGCCTTGCCTCAACTCAAGCGCCTTGCCTCAACTCAAGCGCCTTGCCTCAACTCAAGCGCCTTGCCTCAACTCAAGCGCCTTGCCTCAACTCAAGCGCCTTGCCTCAACTCAAGCGCCTTGCCTCAACTCAAGCGCCTTGCCACAACTCAAGCGCCTTGCCTCAACTCAAGCGCCTTGCCTCAACTCAAGCGCCTTGCCTCAACTCAAGCGCCTTGCCACAACTCAAGCGCCTTGCCTCAACTCAAGCGCCTTGCCTCAACTCAAGCGCCTTGCCTCAACTCAAGCGCCTTGCCTCAACTCAAGCGCCTTGCCTCAACTCAAGCGCCTTGCCTCAACTCAAGCGCCTTGCCTCAACTCAAGCGCCTTGCCTCAACTCAAGCGCCTTGCCTCAACTCAAGCGCCTTGCCTCAACTCAAGCGCCTTGCCTCAACTCAAGCGCCTTGCCTCAACTCAAGCGCCTTGCCTCAACTCAAGCGCCTTGCCTCAACTCAAGCGCCTTGCCTCAACTCAAGCGCCTTGCCTCAACTCAAGCGCCTTGCCTCAACTCAAGCGCCTTGCCTCAACTCAAGCGCCTTGCCTCAACTCAAGCGCCTTGCCTCAACTCAAGCGCCTTGCCTCAACTCAAGCGCCTTGCCTCAACTCAAGCGCCTTGCCTCAACTCAAGCGCCTTGCCTCAACTCAAGCGCCTTGCCTCAACTCAAGCGCCTTGCCTCAACTCAAGCGCCTTGCCTCAACTCAAGCGCCTTGCCTCAACTCAAGCGCCTTGCCTCAACTCAAGCGCCTTGCCTCAAGCCTCAACTCAAGCGCCTTGCCTCAACTCAAGCGCCTTGCCTCAACTCAAGCGCCTTGCCTCAACTCAAGCGCCTTGCCTCAACTCAAGCGCCTTGCCTCAACTCAAGCGCCTTGCCTCAACTCAAGCGCCTTGCCTCAACTCAAGCGCCTTGCCTCAACTCAAGCGCCTTGCCTCAACTCAAGCGCCTTGCCTCAACTCAAGCGCCTTGCCTCAACTCAAGCGCCTTGCCTCAACTCAAGCGCCTTGCCTCAACTCAAGCGCCTTGCCTCAACTCAAGCGCCTTGCCTCAACTCAAGCGCCTTGCCTCAACTCAAGCGCCTTGCCTCAACTCAAGCGCCTTGCCTCAACTCAAGCGCCTTGCCTCAACTCAAGCGCCTTGCCTCAACTCAAGCGCCTTGCCTCAACTCAAGCGCCTTGCCTCAACTCAAGCGCCTTGCCTCAACTCAAGCGCCTTGCCTCAACTCAAGCGCCTTGCCTCAACTCAAGCGCCTTGCCTCAACTCAAGCGCCTTGCCTCAACTCAAGCGCCTTGCCTCAACTCAAGCGCCTTGCCTCAACTCAAGCGCCTTGCCTCAACTCAAGCGCCTTGCCTCAACTCAAGCGCCTTGCCTCAACTCAAGCGCCTTGCCTCAACTCAAGCGCCTTGCCTCAACTCAAGCGCCTTGCCTCAACTCAAGGGCCTTGCCTCAACTCAAGCGCCTTGCCTCAACTCAAGCGCCTTGCCTCAACTCAAGCGCCTTGCCTCAACTCAAGCGCCTTGCCTCAACTCAAGCGCCTTGCGGTCATTCCAAACAGAGGGAGAGAGAGGCGAGGGGGCAGTGAGTGGAGCAAGAGAACGGCACTGGGAGGGGGAGTTGTTCCGCCAAAGCCCAATCACCCCTTTCTCACTGCTTCTTCATCTTCCTAGCTCTCTTCCCTCCTCCCTCTCTTCCTCTCCACCATACCCCTGTCGCCCCACATCTCCGCTTTCCCTTTTCCCCCCCTCCCCGCCCTTCTCCCCACCCCCCCTTTCCCCTCTCCATTTCGCCCCAACCCTGTCACCTGTGCAGATGCGGACCACTTCTCCTCTTGCCCCTTCACCCCCTTTCCCTCTCCGCCCTTCCCACCCCTCCCATTCCTCCCTTACCCCTTCCTTGCCCTCCCCCCCCTTTCCCCCTCCCCCCCTCACCTGTGCGGACGCCCCCCCCATCTCCACGACCCCCACGGAGTCCCGCGCATCGCCTCCCAGGGTGCCCTTAGCATAGTTCGCCGCCACCCACGCGTACACACCCTCCCACACGCCTGCGGAGGGGGGGGGGGGGGGGGCAGGGTGAATAGGTGTGCGGAGCTGTGGGACAGAGTTCCCTTGGCATAGTTCGCCGCCACCCACGCGTACACGCCCTCCCACGCACCTGACAGGAGAGGTGGGGGGAATGGGAGGGTAAGGGTGTGTCGGTTGTGGGCAGTGGATGAGGAGGGTGCGCGAGGGGGTGCCCTTGGCATAGTTCGCCGCCACTCACGCGTACACGCCCTCCCACACGCCTGCAAGGAGGGAGAAAGAAAGGGCGGAAGGGTGCATACGTTGTGGGTGGGTAAGTGAGGGCAGTGCAAAGGGGCGGTGTGGGGGGCAGTGCCATAGGGGTAGTTACTTTGCGCTCATGCGTACGCGCCCGCCCGCCCTCCTTTCCCTCCAGACCACCTTTCCATCCTCCCATTCCGCCTTTCCCCAGGCATCCTATCCCCCATCACCCCACCACACCCGTTGTGCCCCTAGCTCACGACTTTGCCATGCAATAATTCATTCACGCAATCACAAGGCTCCAAGCACCCCAGCCTCTGTCTCCTCTCCCCTCTCCCCCCGTCCCCCGTCCCCCGTCCGTCCCTCAGGTTCCCTTTCGCACTGATAGATATAATCCACCCAAATTTCCATTCCTACTCCAAAACGCAATCCTCGATTTCCTTTCCCCCAATCTTACTGCTTCATATTCTTCCCCCCCTCCCCCCCTTCCCCTGTTCCCCGCTTTCCCCCCTTTCCCCTCCCCTTTTTCTTCCCCTCCCCCTTTTCTTCCCCCTTTCCTTTCCCTCTTTCTTCTCCCCTTCCCCCTCCTCCCCTTTTTCCATCCCCCTCTACCCTCCCCCTTTCCCCTTCCCCCCCACATTTCCCATCCCCCTTTCCCCTCTTCCCCCTCCCTCACCTCCAATGACAATACCGCCACCATCTAAGTCCAATGCGAATCTCGGCCCCTCCCGTGGCGAATCCACCACCTCCGGTTCCTAAGGCGTCTAAACTATCGATCCTTTACCCCTCCCTCCCCCACCTGCAATGACGGTAGCGCCATCCTCTGGTTTGAACCGACCGCGAATCCCGACGCCCCCAGCACCTCCGGTTTCTGAGGTGCCTAAAATCAAACCCTTTCTCCCCCCCTTCCCTTCCCCCCCCCACTCCCCCACCTGCAATGACAGTAGCGCCATCCTCCGGGTCGAACGCGAATCCCGACGCCCCCAGCACCTCCGCGCACGACTGCAGTATCCTCACATCCTCTCCCCGTTTCTCTCCCTCGTTCTCCCCCATCCCCCATTTCCATACCCCCAATGCTCCACTTCCCCTCTTCGTCCTCCCATTTTCCCTTTTCCCCGTTTCCCTTTACATCCTCACCTCTCCACTCCCCCTCCTCCCCTCTCTCTCCCCCCTCCTCCCTGCCAAACCCTCGCCAACCCCTCCCCCACCTGCAATGACAGTAGCGCCATCCTCCGGGTCGAACGCGAATCCCGACGCCCCCAGCACCTCCGCGCACGACTGCAGTATCCTGCGCGCGCCGCTCGCGGGCAGGCGACGCAGCCCCGCCGTCGCCATCAGGCGCACGGGCGTGGCGGACCACAGCGCGCGGGGGACCTGGGGGCGGGCGGGGACGACCGAAGGAAGGTGGAAGAGTGGCGGGTGAAATAGTGAAGTAGTCGGGAGCCGGAGAGCATGACAGCGGAAGGAGAGGGGCAAACGAGAAGCGAGGCTGGCAGGACCTAACGCGTTCGCGACGTATTCATTCACCCCTTCCCATCATTATCACTTCTAGGATGAAAAGGATGGAAATCTCGCGCCTCGCAGAACCTATAAGATGCTCCGGTTTCTGGCACTCCGAGGCGATTAAAGACGTCCTTACCTTGGTTTTCGCGAAGTCCATAAGTCCCACAAGCGACCCGCCCGCTGCGGCCGGGTCCGCGGCGAACGACGAGAGTCCCGGGCGGATCTTAAGAGTCGGCGCGTGCGGGTCGACCAGCGGAAGCGCCGACGGGTCCGCGAGCCGCGTGTACGAGTACACGTGGACGCGCGACCCGGTGCTTCCCGCGTCGATTATTATGGAGTAGGAGCGGGAAATAGTTCCCAAGGCGCGACCGCTGGAGACAGACAGAGCGGACGAGGAGGATGGGGAGGAGGAGAGGGAAAGCGCGAACGGCGCGTAAAGCGCGGAGGAGAAGAGGAGGACGAAGGTGGTCGCGAGGAGGATGAAGCAGAGAATCGCGCGGGCCTTGCGCGGCCGGCCGGACGCGGCGGATGCGGACGATGCGTAGGCGTAGCGCGGGGGGAGCTGCGTGCGGTGCGGGGGGAAGTAGACGGCGGAGCGCGAGGAGATCGAGGGGGGAGTAAGCGAGGGAGCGGACGGGAATCCGGAAATCGCGGAAGACGACGCGGCGACGGCGGTGGAGGATGCTCCCGACGCGACGCCATGGCTCGGGAAGCTCGTGCCGCTGCCGATTCGACGCAGCGCCTGGCTTCCGACGCTCCCGCCGCTCATTTCTATCACATCGTATAGCAGCACAGCTATTGCCGTACGCAGCGGAGGGCTAGTCCACGAGCGCTAGTAACGGGGAGATTCATCTGGTGAATATGTAAGTGGGATGTGGAAGAGGGAGCGTAGGCAGGAGTGCATTTGATGTTCAAGTCGACACGAGATTTAGCTACGTGTCGGCAGCGCGTCACGGAAATAGTTAGTAGCGGCCTGAGCAGCCACAGAAGCTAGAATACGAATCCGATGGATCGGGACTATTTGAACACGGCCTGTTACCCGCACGACTTAAGGAAGCCATGGCTTGCGAATGTCATGTTGCCATTACCATGCTCCTACAGGCTTTCAAGTGAACAAGCGGGCACAATGGAAACGAATCGTGCACAAATCCTAGAGCCCCGTCCGTCCGTAGGCAAGCGCGTGACGCTGCCCAACAGCGTTACGGTTGCTTGGCTCACTGACGCTGGCTCCAAATAAACTAGGTTGTGGAAGCGAGGCTGCCTCTGGGGAGGAGACTAGCCAAGAGGAGATTCTAGGACATGGCCAGTGCGGTATGCTCCCAGTGCTTCGAGTAACCAGATCTCTGACAGACGAGGGAATCAGGAAAGGGTAACTTTGATAGGAAAATTCTGAGGTACTTTGATGGTGTAGTGGTTTGTTGGGTGAAAATGCAAGTTTTGTCAAGTATTCGGTTGAACAGGCGCCCTCGAAGCTATTCATCGATCTGTCGCTTACGAGCCGCAGGGTGTGGAATCCACGTCTCAGGAGTGCTTTTTTAATCTTGCTGAAATTCAGCAGGATTATTCTCCCACCAGAGAACTGACCAGTATCTGTTCAAGATCCAGGGAATCTCAGGAAGCAGTGGTTGTATGAACCCCATGTTGCAGAATGAGCGGTGCTGCTTCTGTTTTCATTCGAACGCAGAACTTAGAGAAGCGGTTTAATAATGTGTGGTGTCTCGTCGGGGTATTTGGACACGTTTTTCAGAAATTCCCCGCAGGACATGAAGTGCAGTGAGGAACTCACAGATCTGTAGGACATGGGTACGGGCCGAGATCCCCCTGGGTACTGGGCATTCTGATGCAGGGAATGAGGCTGTTTACCACCAAAAACCTATCAAAATGTTTTGAATCGTAACAGAGAGCACCGAACCGTTACAGAGCGAGCGCATCTGGCATGTGTTTAGCGGGAAATGGATGGCGCAACGAGGTAACGGATAGCCAGGCATCCACAGGGCACAGCAAGGGAACGCTAGCACAAAAGCGAAGTTTGACGTTTCCGTCAACGTTCGCCATGGCTAGTCGCACTCTCTGCTATAAGCCTCCCTATTCATCGTGATCCTGAGCTTTGTCATTAGCAGTTTCGGGTCGATCCGTCTGAGCCAACGGACGGACCGGATCCATTAGGTGCTTCGAAATGGCTCTAGTCCTTCGCTCCCCTGAAGTTTCGCGAATGCTGCGATGAGACCCGCTCAACTTAGTACGATAACTTTCAGTGGAATCATATCCCAGGCACTTGAAACGATCCTCTCAATGCCGTAATTTTCAGCCAGCGAGCTGTTGAGTCTAAACACTCGCTGGGTTATTATCCTGTCCGCCTGGTGCTTTAGGAGAGGCTTCCTGTTTTGCCACGTCAGCAGGATATTCTGTGCTCGCGATTCCGATTACGGTTCCCAAATGACAAATGAGCGTCAAACGCGAGTTATAAAGCGCGAATTCGACCAAATGCGATTCGCGGTGTGCTTGTGACGCATGATTGCCATCCAATCGGAGTAATTCCCGCGTCGTCCTTTCATCCGTCCGTCCATCCATCCGTCCATCCGTCCATCGCAGTCCGTCCGACCGTCAATCAAGGCAACCTAAACTCGAAAGAATCGTTGTGTTAATTTTGTAGTTCGTTTCGTCAGGAGCAAGGCAGAGCCATGATGACTCGAGATCCCGCGCGATCGCCGCGCTGCAGGGTCGGAGTGGTGGCGGCGTCCGCGTTAGTAGCCGTTTTCCTGGGGTGCAGCTTCGTGACGTGGATTCGTGACGTCAGCCAGGACAGCACGGTGCGGCGGATGATCGAGGCGCACGTGCGCGAGCAGCAGAGAGTGACGACGCTGTACGAAGATCACATCGCAGCCGTACGTTCCACGTCGGGTTGCCAGGGTACAGGTTGAAGGGATTTGGGTGGTTGGATGTTTCAGACTGCTTATCAGACTGCTTATCAGGCTGCCTATCAGGCTGCTTATCTGACTGGGATGTGCCTGGGTGCATTGGTCCCGATCGTCAGTACGAAGCAGATCTGTTGCTTCGTTAAAAAATCCCAGTTGAAGCAACGTATCTGGAGTTTCAGCACGCGATGATTGGCCACATTGGTCGCCCCTCCTCCCTCCCACCCCATCCCCCCTGCCCACACCCATTTTCCCCCCGTTCTGCCCCTGCCTTCCCCTTTTCCCCCGCAGGTGTACCCCCTCGTGTCCACCTTCTCCCAGCCCGCGCGCCGCAGCGCCCCCTCGCGGAGAGCGTGGGTGGAACGCATGGGGCACAGGGGCCCCGCGCGCGTATGCCAGTACGCGGAGGCGGAGGTGCGCGCGGCGCTGGCGCGCCCGCACAGCTGCGGAGCGGGGGAAGCTCGGTATTTCTATGCGGGCGTGTGGATGACGTGGGAGTTTCTAAGATACGAGGTGTTGCGGGAGGGGGGCGGGGGGGAAGCGGAGGAGGGGAGCAGGGGGGCGCGGGGGAGAGGAGCGGAAGGGCGGGAGGAGAGTAGAGGGGAGGAGCAGAGGCGGAGGGGGTTGAGGGAGAAGGAGAGAGAGTGGGGAGGGGAGTGGGAGCGGGGGTGGGAGGGGGGCAGAGAAGGGCCTGGGGCGGAGGGGGGGGATGGCGGAGCTGGCGGGGGAGGCGGGGAAGGGGGGGGGGACAGGGGAGGCGGAGAGGCGCTGGTGTGTGTGATGGCATGTTCATACCGGGAGGCTCTTCAGTGCTCCAAGGGCCGGCCGTGCATCCATGCCTTCCACCTGAGACCATCCGAGTCAGGTATGTGCACTGCCATCACACATACCATTCCGCATGCCATCACACACAGCTTCCCACATACCATCCCACGCACCGTCACACATGCAATCACACACAGCTTCCCAAACAGCTTCCGAAACAGCTTCCCACACACCATTCTTGAGACAGGTCTCAACATCCTCCTGAGACGATCAGAGTCAGGTACGAGCATTAGTTTTGGGGCACCTCAAATATGGTCTGGGGCGACCAGAGTCAGGTACGGTGGGGGGGACGGCCAAGCTGGAGGGAAATGGGGAGGGGGAAGTCAGGGAGGGGGAAGTCAGGGAGGGGGAAGTCAGGGAGGGGGAAGTCAGGGAGGGGGATGTCAGGGAGGGGGATGTCAGGGAGGGGGAAGTCAGGGAGGGGGATGTCAGGGAGGGGGATGTCAGGGAGGGGGATGTCAGGGAGGGGGATGTCAGGGAGGGGGATGTCAGGGAGGGGGATGTCAGGGAGGGGGAAGTCAGGGAGGGGGAAGTCAGGGAGGGGGAAGTCAGGGAGGGGGATGTCAGGGAGGGGGAAGTCAGGGAGGGGGATGTCAGGGAGGGGGATGTCAGGGAGGGGGATGTCAGGGAGGGGGATGTCAGGGAGGGGGATGTCAGGGAGGGGGATGTCAGGGAGGGGGATGTCAGGGAGGGGGGAGGGGAAGGGAGGGATTCGGAGTGGGTGAAGGACTGGGAGTGCGAGAGGGGACTGTGGTCATGAAGTGCATTGCTTGTGTCGCTTTAGAGAGTTGTCAAACGTGAATGGCAGGTGCGATTCTGGGAGTGAATGTGGCGTTAAAGGTGTTGACTCTGCTCCTGCTCCCCTGACAAACCCTCATACTACTCCTCCTGCTCCTCTGCCCACCTCTGTCCTCCACCATCCTCCTCCCCGCCTCCCCTCTCCCTTCTAGCCCTCAACTTTTTTTGTAGTTTTTTTTGTAGCTTGGTCACGCACATTACCCAAGCAAATCTAGCCACACTGCACCGGCTGTGTGACGGGAAACCCTCTCCCACAACCCTTTCCTTCTGCCCCCATCATCCTCCTCTCCTCGCCCCCGCGCCGTGCTCTCGCCCCCCCCTGTCTCTTCCCCACGGCGGCAGATCTACCCACGCTGCACTGGCTCTACACGATAGAGACCCCCTGCCGGTGCTACAGCCGGATCGGATCTGGGGGTGCGCACCGTCTGTACTGCTCGAGTCATCCTGAAACTCTCCCTTCCCCCGTGCTTCTCTCTTTCTCTCTCACAGATCTAGCCACGCTGCACCGGCTGTACGACGGAGACCCCCTGCCGGTGCTACAGCCGGATCTGGGGGTGCGCACTGTGCTGGATGCAGGGGCCGGTGCGGGCATTCTCTCTGTGCTCCTCGCGTGCATGTAAGTTTCAAAGACAGCCTTGCCAGCGAGAGAGAGATTGCGTTCACATGCCCGCTGGCTGTCGCCATTGCTCCTCTTTTCCCCCTCCCAGAATGGACCCAGCGCCAGTCAAATCTCTCACCCCTCTCGTTCCTCCCACTCTTCTCCTCCACTCTCACCAAATCCTCATTCCAACACCACACCCTGACCATTCTTCCCCTCCTGTCCCTTCCCCTCCTGACCTCTCTCTTCCCCTCGACATCCCTCCTGCCCCCACCCCCCTCCGCCTACCACTCGGCTCTCCAGATTCCCTACAGCAGTGGTGGTAACCACACAGGCATCAAAGTCCGGGTTCCGTACCCTAAACCTCTCTCCCTCCTCACTCCTTACGACAACGCCAGCGCGCTCAGGGCAGCACTTTAACTCCCCTGCACCTCTCCTCCCCCTTTTTCCCTCCTTCTCACCAGGTACCCCGCATCACTGCTGGTAACCACAGAAGCATCTGTGTCCTGGTTCCGTGCCTTCTCCCTCCACCTCATTCCTTGCAACAAAGCTATCATGCTCTAGCTGCACGTTAACCCGCCTGCACCTCTTCCAACCCCTTCTCCCTGGCTAACCAGGTACCCCACCGCAGTGCTGGTAACCACTGAGGCGTCAGAGTCTGGGTTCCGCGCTCTCTCCCTCAACACCGCGCCCTACGACAATGCCATTGCGCTCAGAGCAGCTCTGTGGTCGCATGTGACCAGCCTGGTGCTGCAGGCGGATGGGGAACGGGCGAGATTCATTGAAGTGGAACAGAACGCTGTGAGTGCGGGGAGTGGGGAAGGGTGAAAACCCTAGGACTGGGAGGTTAAGGTTTGAAGGGGTATGCCGTTGTGCTTAGAGCAGCGCTGTGGTCGCATGTGATGAGCGAGCCTCGTGCTGCAGGTGGAGGGGGGACGGGCGAGATTCATTGAAGTGGAACAGAACGCTGTGAGTGAGAGGCAGGGGTGGGGGGTACGCTGTTGTGCTTAGAGCAGCGCTGTGGTCGCACGTGACGAGCCTGGTGCTGCAGGCTGATGGGGGCCGATTGAAGTGGAACAGAAGGCTTTTAGTGGGGGCAGGGGAAGGGTGAGGGTTGGCAGGGTTGCAAGGTTGGGTTATGAAAGGGTTTGGGTTACTGCTATCGCACTCAGAGCAGCGCTGTGGTCGCACGTGACGAGCGAGCCTTGTGCCGCAGGTGGATGGGGGCCGGGCGAGATTCATTGAAGTGGAACAGAACGCTGTGAGTGCTCCTTGTGGGCGCGGGTGGGTGCTGACGGATGGATAAGGGGTGGTGTGCGGTTGAGGTGCGGTTGCTCTCAAGTGGTGGGTGGTGGTGAGGATGCTGCACGCATGGTGATGCCAGTGGTAGGCTTGTGCTACTTCTGTTGAGACGTCTCAAAAATGATAACTTTTGAGACGTCTCAAAAATGATGCCAGTGGTAGGTTTGTGCTACTTCTGTGCACCAAGGCAGATACGAATCGTGCCGTTTTCTTCTATGCCTTTTACATCCCTCCCCACCCTTTTCCACCCCTCTCCCCATGCCCCGTTTCCCATCCCAAACCAAACACATATAAAACAAGCCAGGCTAGTATGCTCCTTAACCCGCCTTTCCCTGCAGCAGTCACCACCCAGTCCAGCTCCCTCCTCCCATGCACATCTTCACCCCTCCCCACCCATCCGCCCTCTCTTCCTCACTTCCCCACCCCTCCCCAACCCCTCACCACCACCCCCACCCACCCAGGCGGGTTCACTCCTCAACGCGTCCTCAGCGGCAGCAGTAACTGGCCTATCAGGCTCCTTCTCCCCATTCCATCCTCACCCCTTCCCACCCATCTCCTCTCCCCCACTCCTCACCCTCCCACGCGGGTTCACTCCTCAACGCGTCCTCAGCAGCAGCAGTGACCGGCCTGTCAGGCTCCCTCCCCGTTCCATTCTCACCGCTTCCCACCCCTATCCACCCCTCTCCACCCTCTTCCCCACTCTCCCAGGCGGGTTCACTCCTCAACGCATCCTCAGCAGCAGCAGTAACCGGCCTGTCCGGCTCCTTCCTGCTCCAATTCCTCGGCCTACGCCGCTTCGACCTGGTCCGGATCAACATGGAAGGCAATGCGCGAGTGCTACTCAACCTGCACGCTCCCCACGACTCCATGTGGCTACTCGCCGGCCCCCGCCTCGTTGCCTTTGACTCTCGCCCAGAAATCCTCGCTCTCACGCTCCCTGCCGACGCCTCCCCGTCCTCCTCCGCGTCTGTGGCACGGCCGCTGGTTGCTGCGTTTTACGGGGCGCAGTCCCCGCCGGCATATCAAGAGGTGAAGGAGGGCATAGGAGCAGAGTACATAGTGTTTCGGAGACGGGCTAGCAGCTGAGCAGATGGGATAGCAGCTGAGGAGATGGGATAGCAGCTGAGCAGATGGGATAGCAGCTGAGCAGATGGGATAGCAGCTGAGCAGATGGGATAGCAGCTGAGGAGATGGGATAGCAGCTGAGCAGATGGGATAGCAGCTGAGCAGATGGGATAGCAGCTGAGCAGATGGGATAGCAGCTGAGCAGATGGGATAGCAGCTGAGCAGATGGGATAGCAGCTGAGCAGATGGGATAGCAGCTGAGGAGATCGACTGCTATCTGTCTGGCTTGATTCCCAGTATGCATGGTCTGGGAGGGCTGGGAGGGATGGGATGCGGTGGGAAGGATGGGATGGAGACATTACAGAGGTGAAGGGGAGTCGGGAGGAGAGCAGTGCACGTCTGGGGAGGGGAGCAGGGTTTCGTGAGAGGGAGGGGTCTGCATGGGAGAGCAGAGTTCTGTCTTTCCTCCTCCAAAGGGCAGTGCCCTCCTGCCCTACCTACTGGGCCTTAGTAAACCAATATCACATCTTGGACACTCGTGGTGTGTCGTGCAGTGCTGTGCAGTGCAGTGCAGGCAGTGTCAGCGTGTCACACATACCATGAAAATGCAGGCAGTGCAGGTACCTGCGTCACTTTGGCACAGGCACCAACAAGGGATGGGACCAGCAAAGTGTGCTGTCCTGCAACCATTGCACAAGCAGTGGATGGAGGGGAGGAATCCATAGCTTTGAGATGATTCCCTCCTGTCTTTCTCTCCACTCTCTATCTCTCCTTTTTTCTCTCTGACCTTGCGACACTCTCTCTAGCTGGGGCAGAAGAGACAGAGGGGTTAGTAGTTGCATGGGCTGGAGCATTGACTTTGAAGTTAGTTAGGTGCCCCCCCCACCCACCCCAGCTCCACCTGATGCAAACTTACCGCCTCTGGAAAAAAGAGCTTACTGCCTGATTCGTGAATTTTGTGTAAATCCATCTGATTCTATCAGGATTCCTGACCTCACCTTATTCCTAATGGTGTTGATGGTGCTTCAGGATTCCTGACCTCACCTTATTCCTCACCTCATCCTACCCTGTGCTTCTCGTGACACATCTTACTGCTATGAGCAAAGGAAGGCTGCTTGGAACGGTTCCCTGCACCATGATATCTGGAGACATGTGCCAAGTACCACCGGCAACAAGGAATCTTTGCTAGGTTGTTTGGGAATCCACTTTGAAAGTCGGTGGCGAGGCAAAGACACAAATGCTACGGTAGTATCTTCAAGCAATGCCGCGACAGGGTTTAGTTCGGTATCACGGTATTGCACTCTCTTTCTCCACTATCATCATACTTTGAGCTTGTTTGTATAGCTGTGTTGTACAAACCAAAGACTAATATATTCACCAGATACCAAGCATCACCACCAGTATCAGCGGGTGTGGGTCGAAACCGCCTTCTTGATGCCACACTCGTTTTCTCTTCACGCTCATCTGTTTCAGGGGTACCGGGTCACCCTTGCGTACTCCTCCTCTTGCACCTGCATCGCGCGTGCATCATACGAATCACGCGCATCATACACATCACACGCATCATACATATCACACACATCATGCGAAGCAACAAGGGTCGGGAAGAGAAGGAGCGTGAGCTGTACATTTTCCAAACCAAGGAACGAAACAGAGCCAGAACGTGATGTGGATGTGGAACGAGAGAGTGTGCACTGCACTGCACACTCTCTCAACTCAAAGCACGCACACGGAGGAAGAACAGAAGGAGCAAATCACAAGGCAATTTCTCAAAGAGCACAACAAAGGTAGAGACGCAACAAAGCATGCACACGCAGGTAGAAGGTGAGCAGGGAAAGCAAAGCAGAGCAAGACGGGCAAGAAAGAGCAGGAGGGTCACATGTACAGTGATTACTCTCTCAAATCAAACCACCCACACGCAGGTAAAACACGAGGAGGGCGGAGACGGCAAGGAAGAGCGAGAAGCGGATGTGTGGCTCGTTCACCAGGAACCAGCGCCGTGTGCACGCACAGTTTCACATTCTCAGCACTCACACGCAGGTAGAAGACGAGGAGGGCGGAGACGGCAAGGAAGAGCGAGAAGCGGATGCGCGGCTCGTTCACCAGGAACCAGCGCCGCGCACGCGCACACAGCAGCAGAAAGCGGCGTCCACTGCTGCCACAGGCCAACAGACCACGCACTGCCAGCGCGTAGGGCGACGGGCAGCAGCAACGTCCCTGCTGCAGCTGCTGTATCCGTAGTTGTTGTTGTTGCTGCTGCTGCTGCTGCTGGTGTCGGTGCTGCCTGTGTTGCTGCCGCTGCTGGTGCCGTTGCTCTTGACTCAATACCTGGGGGGCCTGTGCTAATCTCTCTGGCAGTTGCTGCTGCTGCTGATGCCCAGGCTGCTGCTGAGCGCTCTGCCTATCCGCCGCTGCACCAGATCCACTCAGCCGGACCACCAGGTCCGGCAAAATCGAATCCACCCCGGACCTCTCTGCTCCCGCCAAATCCTCGTGCCTCTGCTGACTGGCTTGGCCCTGGGCTAGAATCTGCTCCATACTCTGTTGAATGTTCGGCTGTGAGCTTTGGTGTAAGAGAGGAGTGGATGATGTGAGGTGAGAAGGGGTGTAATCAGGGATAGAAATGGCAGTGTGGTCCTGTCTCTCCTCTGCTGGAGGAGCACAGGCAGAGGGTGGTTGGGGAGAGTGAGGGTATGGGGATGGTGAGCTAGAAGTGACACCTGCAACGGTATAGTGGGTTGAAGTCAACGGACCTATTTCTCTGCTGCTTTGTAAGCTGCTCCTGTAGTGGTCATTGCTACTGCTGGTGCTGCTGCCACTACTACTGCTGAAAGTAAAGCTGCCGGCACTGCTGATGGCATTACCACCGCCAGCAGCAGCAGCAACAGCATGAGTGTGGGCGGATGTCTCTCGTGCTAGATTCGCCTGGGAGAGCGAGGGGCTATGGGCGTTCACTCGAGTCCCGGCATTGCTCTGCACATGTGCCTGTGCCTGTGCCTGTACATGTGCATGTGCCTGTACATGTGCCTGTGCCTGTACATGTGCCTGTGCCTGTACATGTGCCTGTGCCTGTGCCTGTACATGTGCCTGTGCCTGTACATGTGCCTGTGCCTGTACATGTGCCTGTGCCTGTGCCTGTACATGTGCATGTGCCTGCACATGTGCCTGTGCATGTGTATCCCTTTGGGCTTGTTCCTGTGAGAAATCTTGGGGTGCTGACGTGTTTGTTACATGGCTGGCAGGAAGCGCAGCAGCGACTGCTGACATGGCCAGCCGCTGCTGACGTGTCACTCCTATGATCCTGCCATTAAACGTGAAGAAAACATGGGGCAAAGTGTGGGATTGGAATGCGTTGGACAGAAAATGAATTCTCAGGAAGAAAATAGAAAGGGAGCCGAATGCAAGCAAGAGGAATGATAAACTGCAGAAAAAAGAGAGAAAGGAGAAAAAGCAGAAATAAACAGTGAAAACGGAGCGGGGAATGTGACGAGAGCAGAGAGAACGTGCAAGAGAAGGAAATGGGAGGAAAGGGGTGGAAAGGGGTGAGAAGGGAGTGGAGGAGGGGGGAGGAAAGGTAACCTTGCTTGCTCCACAAGCTGTGCCAGGGCTCGGTTGGGGAAGACCTGGTCAATGCCCCCGATCAATGGTGCCCGACCTGTGTGCAGAAGAGGGGAGGTGGCGAGACGAGATGGGAAGGTTGAGGTTGGGAGGGAGAGGAGAGGAGAGGAGAGGAGAGGAGAGGAGAGGAGAGGAGAGGCGAGGAGAGGCGAGGAGAGGCGAGGAGAGGAGAGGAGAGGAGAGGAGAGGAGAGGAGAGGAGAGGCGAGGAGAGGAGAGGAGAGGAGAGGAGAGGAGAGGCGAGGAGAGGAGAGGAGAGGAGAGGAGAGGAGAGGAGAGGAGAGGAGAGGAGAGGAGAGGCGAGGAGAGGCGAGGAGAGGCGAGGAGAGGAGAGGCGAGGAGAGGAGAGGCGAGGAGAGGCGAGGAGAGGAGAGGCGAGGAGAGGAGAGGAGAGGAGAGGAGAGGAGAGGAGAGGAGAGGAGAGGCGAGGAGAGGAGAGGAGAGGAGAGGAGAGGCGAGGAGAGGAGAGGAGAGGCGAGGAGAGGAGAGGAGAGGAGAGGAGAGGAGAGGAGAGGTAGAGGAGAGGAGAGGAGAGGAGAGGAGAGGAGAGGAGAGGCGAGGAGAGGCGAGGAGAGGAGAGGAGAGGAGAGGAGAGGAGAGGAGAGGAGAGGCGAGGAGAGGAGAGGCGAGGAGAGGAGAGGAGAGGAGAGGAGAGACGATGACACAAGGCTTTGGAATGGAAGATGTGGGGTATGGTTCCAATCAATGGTGCTCAGGCTGTGTTGGGAAAGGAGGGTTGGAAGAGTGCTTTGAAGCTTGGAGAAATGCACAGGTGCTCGTGTCGTGGTGCTATATCACACTAGGGGGATAGATATTGTTGACTCGCGTTGACTCGCTTTGACTCGCATTGACTCGCTTTGACTCGCGTTGACTCACACATGGGGCAGGCGTCGGAGTGAGCCAGAGCGGTGTCGAGACACTTTTGGCAGAACGAGTTCCCTGCGCACGTGTGAGTCATGCCACGGCAGGAGAGACGAGAAGAGAAGAGAAGAGAAGAGAAGAGAAGAGAAGAGAAGAGAAGAGAAGAGAAGAGAAGAGAAGAGCGGAGAGGAGCTGAGGGGAAGTGGAGGGAAGAGAAGTGACGGGACGTGTAAGAGATACAAGGGGGCGGGCCAAGGGGGATGCAGAAAGGCACAGCGCAGGGCCTATGAGGCAGGGCCTATGAGGCGCCCCCGAAGTCACACGGCAACGGGCAGCAGCGCAGGGCGTACCGCAGCAGGAGACGACCATGGGTTGCTCGAAGAGTTCCGTGCAGATGCAGCAGCACAGCGTCGGCACTATCGACTCCTCCGCCGCCGCCGCAGCCGCCGCCGCTGCTGATGATGATGCTGACGTGGCGGTTGCGCTGGATGCTGCTGACGTGGCGGCACCGCCAGGCGCCGGCGCTGCTGATCTGCCGCCGTTGCCGGGCCACATGGTCGGAATCGCGCTGGACGCACAGGCCTGGCACCCGGATTCGTCGTTCAAGCGTCGAAACCCTAATGGCCCAATGGAGACGCGTGTAGTTTTAGCTGCGGAACAGGTGACAGGTTGTCAGCCGTGCCGCAACCGCAGTCGCATCTTATGTACTCGCTCACAATGCATCAGTCTGTGACCTGCGAAGAAGTGATAGATTCTGGAGTGAGCAAACATGCATGACTGCTCTGGTGGTGGTGATCGCGGTTGAGAGTGACATGACAGTGGAAGGAGGCTGTAACGAGTATGCATATACACGTCATAGATAATTCTGGAACAGTTTGTCCTACAAGTGCTCTTGCATAACGTACAATTCTTGTCGCATTCTGGGTCCACTTCTTGGGGCTGGATGTAGCGCAACTGTCTTACAGACAGTGTTCAGACAGTGTTCTTGCTCTCAATCGACTTAGCACACAAACGGAGCAGTCGCAGAAAATATTTATTTCTGGTGTATTCCGCGCCCGTTATACGGCTTTCTCTAGGGGCCAAACCACGTGGTCATATCACTGAGCAATACGTGGCCTACACACGCCACGTCACGCCAGCTCCTCAGTCAGCGAGTCCATCAACGAAACGAAATGGCAGGGCAATGTTCCACTGGAGCTCTGTATTTCGCGCCAGCCATTCGGCGCGCTTCTTCGTTCCCCTCCCCTTCCTCCCGCACACCAATTCCTTCCCACCCCCTCTCCTCTTCCCGCTCATGTCGTCTTCCGCCCCCCGGTCCCCCGTCCCAAGCCCGCACGTTGAATCACTGTCACCAAAGCTGCCAGCTCAAGCCGCCGCTTTTACAGGGTAACCCGACCGTTGATCACTTCTACAGGCCAACGCGGACCGGACGGCAGGTATCTAGTATCTGTGTACCACTCCGCAATCCTCGCTACCATAGTCGAGTCGACGCGATTTTCGGCCTCCCAACATATTCCCCTTCGTCAGTTATAGAAGCGATTAGAAAGCGAGGAACGAAACAGCTCTGTTTGAGGCAACGCCCCAACACCATTTCCTTCGCTTCTTTCGCATCTTTCGCACAACCCTATCCCCATCGCCGCATCGCTGGCTCGCCTTGTGCCCCTCATGGAGTGCTTTCTCGCGATTCCATCCGCGTCGCACGCGATCGCTCGCTCCATCGCACGCGCGTCGCACACCTCCATCTCTTCCTCTCGCACTGCTCTACTATCATCCGAGATCTCATCGATAAATACGCCGGCATTCACGCCTCTCCGTGCGCGATGGGGCTCGAAATCCCGATCAGACAGTGAAGCGATCTGGGCCGTTCATCAGCTGGCGCAGGATAGTCTTCCGCGGTGCGGCAGGAGGGTTGGAGCGGGGTGGGGGGGAGCGGAAGGGCGCAGTGAGGTGCGGAGATTCGTGACCCGCGCGTCCGCGGAGGGCAGCATTGGCGGGGATGGGCGGGACGAGGTCAGCTCTCGGCTGGGCAGAAGGAGAGGTCGAAGCGGCTCCAACAGCACTGGCAGCAGTGGCAGTGATAGCGAAAGCAGCGCGGAGCTCGTTAGGGGGACCAGCGGCGGCAGCAGCATTGGAAGCAGTAGCGCGAGCGAGAGCGAGAGCGGGAGCGGGAGCGAGGAGGGGAGTTTGGAGGGCAGCGCGCCGCAAGATGTGCTCCTTAAAGCAGTCAGTGGTGGGTGCGGCGCGACGCGAGTAGTGCATTCGCTGATGTGTGGTTGGGGGAGGGACGCCTAGTGGTTGCTGCTACTCGAATGGAGGAGAGCGCCGCTTGTAGCCCCGATCGCTCACATTCAGTTCGATTCAATTGTAGTTCCTCCCTGGCTCCTTCCTTCCCTCAAATCTCCCCCCTCTTCGTTTCTCTCCCCCACCCCCTCCCCCACTTCCCGTTCCTCCCCTCCCTCTTCCCACCGCTCCCTCCCATTCTTCCCGCCCCTCCCCCCTCCTGGCACGACTTCCGCGGCAGAGGTGTCGCGAATGGCGGGGCGGCAGGCGCGCACGACGAACGTGGTGATGGGCGGCACGGCAACAGAGTATGGCGACGACTGGCTCGAGCTCGACAAGAAGGTGCGCTCCGTGCCCCGTGCCCCGTGCCCTGCGCTCCGTGCCCCGTGCCCCGTGCCCTGCGCCATGTGCCCTGCGCCATGTGCCGTGCGCCGTGTGCGCCGTGCCCCGTGCCCCGTGCTCCGTGCCCCGTGCTCCGTGCCCCGTGCCCCGTGCTCCGTGCCCCGTGCCCCGTGCCCTGTGCCCCGTGCCCCGTGCCCTGTGCCCTGTGCCCCGTGCCCTGTGCCCTGTGCCCCGTGCCCTGTGCCCTGTGCCCTGTGCCCTGTGCCACCTGCTATGGTTCAGGGGACGGGTGAGGGAAGTTTGAAGTTGGAAACCTGGAGAGGAAGGCTGATCCTTATTTGTGTTTGTCAGGAGCGACGAGGAGTCGACTGACGCTGCAATCTCTACCCACTTCTCATTCTCTCCCTCGCCAACTCCCCTCTCCCCACGGTGGCGGCAGGTGAACACGTACCCCAGTCTGCGTGACTTCACAGCCATCGGGTCGGGAGGAGAGGACTTTGCCGTGGCAATGGTGCTGGCTGTGCAGTCCGTCCTTCCCAAAGATGTTCCCGAGGTAAGGTGGAAGAGCCAGGGGAGTTGGGTGCGGTTTTAGGGGGAGAGGAGTCGCGGCATGGCGTGTGTCAACATCTGCTATCACTTTAGGGAGGGTTGGGCTGAAAAGGGGGGTAGACATCTGGAACAAAATGCAAGAGGGGGGAGGTGGTTTGCAGGCTGGGGGATCATTGGGAAGAGGGGATTCACTGACATGTGCTGCTTGGGGGTGCATACAGCAAATGTTTGTGTTTCCAGTGGACCATGGAAATGGTCCATGGCTATGATGGATATTTGCCTGATTGATTGGAAATCCGCTAGAGTCAGCGGCCAGTTGTTCTTTTTTGTTTTTTTTTCTTTCTGTTTTTTTTGTTTCTTTATGTTTGGTTTGGTTTTTTTTTTTTTTTTTTTTTTTTTTTTTTTGTGCGTGCACTCCAAATCGCCATGGCCTCAATCGTCTCTCTCCCTCCCTCCCAATGTGTTTCTCTCCTCCTCCTCAGCTTCAAGTGGTAACCAGGGAGAGTGCCACGGGTCGTTACATCAGTGTTAAGATTGGACCTGTTAGAATGGACTCTAGTGAACAGGTGAGATTTGAAGGGCTGAAGGGATGAGAGGGGTGGGCAGATGCATGCACCTGTGGTGAATTTGGTGCATGCCTACTTGCAAGATGGGCCGTAGTAACAGTAAGATGGGCTTTCACTAATATCTGCGTCCTCTTGTCTGCAGGTTCGAGCGGTGTATCAGGCAATGAAGCAGGACCCTCGGATGCGGTACTTCATTTGAAAGTTGCTCAGTTCAAAATCCTGTGGCAAAGATTTGCAGATAATATCTTATACGCTGATTTTCTTGTTTATACGGTTTTCTCTCTTCTTTCAACTGCAATGAGGCCAGTACAAGTGTTTCCGGATGCTTAAAGTCATCCAACGTGCAATTATGATGAGTTCAAGTCTAGTTGTGATAGTATCATTCATTTTGGGGAAGATGGTTCCCCAGCCTAAAACTAACCGTACCCAGCCCCACCGTTTTGGATCACGACGTTACCGTAACATTTCGTCTGAACATCTCGCTTTGCCCTAACCTGTCTCGCTAATGACAGCTGCCCCTATCGTTATAGCCTTGTTGGATGTCGAGTATCATCAACACCGCACAGAAAGCCTCTGAATTGGTATTGGGTACAACAGTAACACCTTTTGAATTGGTATTGGTATTACCCCCCCACGTGCTCCACCAACTCCTCCAAGAAATCCCTCCTACAACGACCCTAGCTAGCTAGACGAGATCATTGCTGGTGCGGCCCGATCTCGTGTCACCTATTCTCTCTACCTTGTGCTGTACCAGCAACTTATCGAAAAACGTCTAGGCTATTGGCAATGCGGATCTTTACTTTCGCCGCTCTATGCACCGCCACGTTCGTCGCCGTGCAGTCCAGCGACTACGTTTTCAAATGGATGGCGGAGCGGCACGAGTCTAAGGTACGCGTGACTGCAAGAGAAGCATGGTTCTAAGATTCTTAATACTTACCCGAGCCTCTAATATCAGTTTGAGCGTCGTTTTCTGTGAGTCGCGACGAACCTTCCTTAGTGAAATGGCTGCGGTTGATGGGCAGACAGGAATGACGGAGTCTAGTGTTTGTTCCTTACGGTATGAAGTCCCTTTCAGGCCAATAACTAGGTCCCACGGTCGGGCGTTTACCAGTCCAGGGCGGCGGTTTTTCCTTCCCTTTATCCCCTGTTTGCTGTCTCGGCTGTTTTGATCAGAATGACATGACTCATTCTGAGTTATCTTCCTCCGTCATTGACCTTCCTTCCAGGTGGAGAGAATCATGTTGGAGCACAAGATTGCAGCAACCAAGCACCGCATGCTGGAAGAAATGAAACAGAACCAGGCACAGTAGTAGCCCTTTTGCTGGCAGTCTGGTGTGCATGTTGGATTTTATGTAGAATAAATATGATGGGCCGATGATTAACAACCTTTCGTGTTCACCAGACATTTACCTACCTTGGTGCCTTGGAACTTGCAGCTTGTGATATTCTGGATTCTGATGTGCACATAATTATGTACGCTACTTCATTACATATATTAATAAAGTTGCTGATGCAGTAAGCTATTTTGTAACAAGCGACATTCGCGAGGACATGGCTACAGCACTTGCACGTAGCCAGCGAGTTACGAGTACTTGTTCTCCAGAACACCTGGAATCGAGCCGCCGTGCAGTCCTTTGATGCGCTTCGAAATTTGCCACTCCAATCCAATGTACCACCTAGTCGCAGAGGGAAATGATCATATTGAGGCCGAACAGTGCTAGAAAGGTGATCGAAGTACGGCCGGTGAATCTCGACCGTAGATTTTCAACCCGGAGCTGCCAAAATGACAAGGCGAACAAGCTGAGCCGTAAGTAAAAGAGAATCATCAACAACTACTAAATTGTGTGTATACTTTCTTTAACGAGAGTTTGACCGCCGTCTACTACAACGCGCTCGTCGCCTTGTTCTGGACTTAAATTTGGCGTGTCAAATCGTGAGTACCTCACATATATTATGGGTGATACATATCACCTACCCGATCGGAAACGCACGGGGAAAAAATATATTATCCATTCGGAAATGGATGCGCCTCGGGAGGCATAAAACCTGAATACCAGGAAGGTTTTCTTTTTATACGGTTGATCAATCCCGAAATTTGATTCCAGGTTCCCTATGGGTTTTTTTCTGCCCTAATAGTTCCCAGCAGATTCGGCTCGCTAAACGACACGCGAGAGAAAATGCGAGCCAGTACATGCCACTAGTAACAGAATTACGTGTAATAAACGAGGACCCTCTGTCAATCTCTCCTTGCGCAGCGGTTTCGTAAGCTCTGGGCCTCTGGGCCCCTAGTCGATCACCCCTCTGGCACTGTTCGGCCCTTGTATGATACTTTCCCATTCGCAGATCTACCACCTGCGGGAGAAACAGAACAGTAATGAAGCCAAGTATGTCAATTGATACAATTACGAGTTTGAGCCAGTTCAACCGTCATGGAGTTACACTCACCGAGTCACCGCCACAAACACACCACCACCATCCATCCAGCCACACAATTACCCCGATCACCTTGGATCTCTCATATCCTTGCATTGGGAGGAAGCTTTAACAATAAATTACTAGCCCAGAAGGACGCTGAGTCTGACTCGGTCCCTGCCCATCGTGTGCTATTACCTCTTTCGGACTGATTAGGAGGTTATAGGCGCGAGAGTCAAGAACGTTTTATCATCGCCATGACCATGCTTGTTCTCCAACATGATACCCTGGTCTAGTCCAAGCAGTCAGCGTGCGCATATATTCGCGCCTTGCAACTCCTTCGCGCCTCAAATGCAACATTTCGTGCAACAAGAAGCAAGAACCAGAGCCTGAGAAACCATCGAAACCTGTTTATGCCTGACTGTACCTCGTGTTATCCGGCTCGTTTCACCGCATGAACCCGTTCGCATGCGAGCATCTGTCGCAGGAGTGCATTAGTCTCGGTGCGACTTTCACTGAACAGCTTATCACTGAACGTAGTCCGCGTATCTCACGCTCCTAGCTACTTGGCCCACGCCTTTCCTGGTCAATGCCCTCCCCAGTCGTCTTCCCTGGTCAATGCTTCCCCTTGGTTCTTCTCCCCTTCTTCGGCTCTCCCTCCATCCACCCCGCCGAGCGCGACGCGTAGCCATGCCACCCTTGCTAACGACAAAACGCACTCGCCCTTCCCAGCACCACTCCTCTGTCTCGCCGACTTATCATCGGTCGCCCCGTCAGCCCTCGCGCTCGAGAATCAATTGCAGCTTCCACCTTCCCCCGCCCCTCCTCCGCTCTTCCCTCCGATTCCTCCGCTCCGCGCCCAACGCAACCTGGCATTGCGCCCTTCCGCCACACCAGACCCGGCGCGCAACACCTCGCCCTCTATCGTCCCTCCTCCCACTCGTCCTCCTCGCCGTTCTTCTAGTCTCTCTCGCGCCTCTGGCGGCGCCCCTCGCGCCCAAGCCCTGGCCTCGTGAGTACTCCCTCCCCGCCGTTCTTCTAGTCTTTCTCGTTTCGCGCTCGTGACCAGCCCGCCCCGACTACACCCGCGGTAGCGGCCCCGCATGATCGTAAGCTTTCCCCCCTCTTTCCCCCCGTTTCCTTTTCCCATTCATCCCTTCACCCAATTCCTTACCCCATTCCTCCCTCCGCGCTTTTCTTTCCTCCAATTCTCTCTTCCCCATGGCTTCTCTTCCCACGAAATTGCAACACGAGCAGGCAAGTGCGACTACTCGGTGGGTTTCTGGCTGCGCGCTCCGAAGGGCACAGGCGTGCCGCGCTACACGGCGCGAGCAGGCGAGAAGGGGCACTGCCCGTACGTGCGCCCGCTGTACGCGTGCGAGCGCAACAACCGACCCGACTCGCGCTACCAGCGCTACCGCTGGCACGCCAAGAAATGCCGCCTGAGCTACTTCAGCGGGTCGGGCTTTAAGTACCTCATGCGACAGCGGGTAAGTCGAGCTAGTCTTTGACAAGCTAATCTAGTCTTTGGTAAGCTGGATTCTTGGACCTAGAAGTTGGGTACACCGTACAGGTGGAGAGTGGTTCTTTTCTCTGTCGGCCGAGTTTACCCGACGCCTCTTGAGATGTTGAATGCATCGAGTCCGTGTTTCTCACTCCATGCTCTAGCAATCACGTATTGTTAAACAATGTCTATTGCCCTCGCATGCCAGTTTGTCCCCTCATTGCCGAAGCTTCTGCGACGCAATAACATGACTTGCCTCCCCGTGCTCCTTCCTTTCTGCTTCCCCTTATCTCTACCTTCCCTTCCCTCCTCTCCGCTGCCTCCTCTCTGCGTCACTTCCTCTCTGTCTTCCCGTATCCCTGCTTCCTCTCCTCTCTGCTTCTCCTCCATTGTGTTCCTTCCCTCTCTGCGTCCCCTCCTCCCAACCGCAGCGCATGCTGCTGGTGGGCGATTCGATCATGGGGAACCTCTTTGAGGCGCTTCTATGCGCCATCCACGCTGCGGGATACCAAGGCAAGGTGAGCTTGCGCAGCAGGGAAGGGTGGTGGTGGGGTGGAGAGTGGGGAGTGGATGCTGGAGGTAAGGAATTGGGGCTGAGAGCATCGTTAATTTGAGATAAGGCTCATTCTCTGCCGATTGTTAGAGGTGTAGCATTGCAGGGTTGAAGCTGGATGGATGGATATGGCGAATGGCGCCTTTCAGTTCCTGCATGGGATTGCGAGATTGTGGGGTTGGATAGAGGGTGGAGGGTGGAGCCTACTGTGCTACTCCTGCTGTGTTCAGTCGCTTTCCTGCTACTCGTTTTGCAGTGTATTTCCGTTGCTTAATCACACTGTATGAAAGCCAGGGTGTGTGTAACTAGACCACACTGGTGTCTTCCAATTTGTGCAGCTCCTCTCCCGTTTTTCTGCTCCATTAATCACAAACTGAGCAACCTCTCCATCCCCGATTGTCTGTCTTCAGCCGTTTGTACGCAAGACCAAGGGGCCCTTCAACATCAAGGCTGTCCGCTTCCCCCGCTTCTCCTTTTCCCTCGAATTCCTTTTCTCGCCGTACCTCGTCCACGCGAGACAACGCTCCAGCATAAACAGATCCCGGGGCGGTGGCCATGGCTACATTGTGAACGTGGATAGAATAGATCCAACACTCGCCTCCGTTCTTCCATGGTACGACGTCGTTGTGTTCTCTTCAGGTGTCTGGTGGTCCCAGAACGTTCCGGGCAGAAGCCAGCCAGAATTTTTCCGGGTAGGCGGGCAGCGTCGAAACCTCACGAACCTTGCAGCTTATTCCTGGGGCCTGGCAACAATAACCCGGCATCTCAGACTCTCCAACTTCCCAGGAGTCCCTATGTTCCTTTCTTTCTCCCCAAGGCACACCGGTCATGGCATGCCACAACCTTGGGTTACAGAGGCTTATCGGGGCGGGACCTGGTCTGACTTCCAGAAATTGGGAAGGCTCCAGTCTGGGCCACATTTGATTGGCTCATGTGGTGCCCTCACACCAATGAAGCGATCAGGTCTGGTTGATCGATACAATTTTGGAAGTGCGGAGTTGTTTTATGCAATGCAGCGGGCTACACTCAAGGGTTCCTTCATAAGACTAATGAAAATAACGAGGCTGAGTCAAAGTAGGCCGGATGGGCACTTGGGAGTCTGGTATGAGCCAAGGACAGCAGAGGGGCCTTCTTCGCCTATAGCGATGGGGCTTAACCCGTTTGATGGGGATTGCACGCATTGGTGTTAGCCTGGAGTTCCAGACGCTTGGGTTGACATCCTTTACAACCACTTGCTTTTGGAACCGCTCTTATTTGCACGGAAAAATGATATGTAATAAAAAACAGTTTATTAAACTTGTTTTGTTTGTGGATTCTATTAGATGTTTGAACCCGCTCGATTCATGTCACCAAAGCACGTTGACCACTATCGATGCAGTGGCATCCTCGTTCACTCCACCAAAGCAGACCACAAGGTTCCACATGGATTGTTAGGGCGTGTGTGATCTCGCCGAATTCAATTGTTTTGCAGTTGATGACTGACCTTGGTTAGGATTGGATGGCGAGGTGTAAAGAATGACGAGGGGTGTGGCGAGGGGTGCGAAGGAAACACAAATCGCAGTTTGTGTCCAGACCAACCAGGCACGGAAATTGGTTCGGTGCCAAAGCTACTACACCAGCAATTTGTGCGAGCATCCCGAAAGTCTCATGTACCAGGAAAATGTTTTGCAATTGCTTCAGAGGCAAAAACGTCAGGTGTCGCACAGTCAATTGCCAGACCAATCCCTAGACTTCGCCACCTCAAACAGGGTGACTCAGCATCAATTGTTTTGCAGTTGGGAAATATTTTCGAACATATAACGGCTACCCGTTTCGTGAACTTCGCTGACAAAGGCATTTAAATGTTGGGCACGCATAAGTGCGGATTTCAAATGTGAACTCGACTCGAGTCGAATAGATGAATGTGATGAACACGCTGAAGCGAGCGTGTGTGCTTTCGGCACGTACGAAGCTCATGCGAACTGACGACTGCAATGCGAAGCGGAAAATTACAGTATGTTGACATGGCGAGCCTGTACCGGGTAACATAAGGGCTCGAATTTTCATGTTCGACCTTCCGTGTGTGATTGCATCTTGCAGTGTTATTCGCGCAATGTTCGAACTTCGGTACAAGGAAAGTCGAGTTCATTCGACTTAAGCTCGTTTCGCACAAATCGCCCGTAAAACATTAACTTTTACGAGTTTCAAAGACCACACACGCCCTTAGCCGCTAGTTAGCGTAGGTGAGGTCGGTTACTTAATACGGAGTACGTACCATTTCCTAGCGCCCCTACTGTGCATTTACTGTTGATTCACGGCTTTTTATAGAAACCTGTTTCTGGAACCTGTAAGTGCCAGCCGTCAGCCATAACGATATTCGCTCGGAAGCCCGATGTCAATGGCAGCATTAAGTTCTTCTGGTCTTCTCGGGGCTCCAGGATTAAGTACAACTTGCTTGATCGCGGAACACGGCACTAGTAGAGGGCGAAATTTCTCCTCGAACTGCCTGGCGTCTCGAGAATCTTCTCACATGCGATCGATACCTCTGCCGCTGGTAATGTAGAAAACCACCAGCTTTCACTGGATGGAAACTGTTGGAGTGAAGGATTGGGCATTTTTCGCGCGATTGCGATTTCCACTCACACTTGAACATCAATTTGACTATATCGTCCTCCCAGTCGCGCGCCTCTCACCTTTCTTCCCGTTCCTTGACACACTTTATACAACCTATTTGTCATTGATGCGACATTCCCATTCGTCGTTTCCCAAATTGGCTCTGGTGAGCAGCGCACGCCTTGGAGCGAGAAAAGGCAAGAATACCGGACTGCCGTTCGAGGACCACAGGCGCTCCTGGACCCCAAGAGCGACGAGATACTCGCCAACGCTATTAAGGTGTGAACTGAGTTTATTTTGTGGGATATGCACTTGTGAAGCGCGCTGGCTGCTTTCCCAATTGGCTTACTCGGTGGACTCTCTACGACAAACTCGTTATAAATACGAGTATTATACAATCATGCAACCAATTCACAGCCTCAGATTCGCATGCATTTCTGGGTCACATGGCTTTTACCCCTCCTTCTGCCATGCTCACTCCTGTCCGGACTTGATGTACCCCACCCCACACCACCACAACCCCTCCCCACCAATTGCTCCTGTGAAGGAACCGGTCGCATTTTTTGGAGGTGTGGTGGCTGGCATTCTGCGGCTGGACTTGAATGAGGAACCACTGAGAGACTGGGTGAAGCGCACTGCGGATGCTGCTGGTGTGGCCCCCGCATCCTCTAAGACATTGGTGAATGATGATGATGGTGATGGTGAGATAGTGATTGAAGATGATGATGATAGTCAACCAGTGGATATTGCGATTGAGTAGTGGGTTGTGCTTGGAGGTTGTGGGAAGGTACGCTTACCGTATAATTCATTTTCTCCGAGGACTGTTGGTCTTGATTAAACTAATGAAGCTGCTGTTAGAAAGGCATAGTGCCAGCGTAGCGGAAACGTGTTTGTAGAAAAGAACAAGATAGAAATCTTGCATTGATCATTGAAAAGTAAAAGGATGACACAATGAGTACTCAATGATGTGACACAGCAGGGTATATATGCATCCAGCTACCCCTCCAGAATGACCCATTCACACCAATAATGGTGTATCAATAATTGTACCCTCTACCCTCCAATAATGCTGACCTCCAATAATTCTGGCCCTACAATAATTGTGACAATTATTGGAGGAGCTGGAGGCTTATAAAGAGGACTACACTAAAACCAAACAGCACAGTGGTATACGGTACAATATTCGTAATACTGTATTCGGATTTCCAACACTCCCCCTTGCTGAAGGTTTTAGTGAATCCGTTTTCCTTGGAGGATGGGGTGGTCGAGGTGGTATGCCACCACTAGGTAGGGGTGCGCCCAAACCAAGCTAGGGTTTGGTGTTGGCCAAGCTGCTTGTCACTGTAGCACCTTTCCCATCCCAACATTTGGGCCTTCCAAACTCCAACCAAACCACATGCCTTCACGTTTTCCATTCCCTCCTTCCAATCTCCTCATTCTAGATCGAGATCTAGAGAGTAGTGGTTGATGCTGAGGAAATCGTAGCAGCTCCATGGCGTAATCTCCTCAAAACCATGGCGGAATGCGCGTATCGTCATGGCGGAATGCCCTGAGCGCACGTCGAATTTCCGAAACCGTAGACTTGACTACACGCGATTGTCAATGCTGCTGTCTTTTTCGCACGCCTCCTGTGCGACGACGCGAAACCGCAGTGGATGCGCGTCTGCGACGACTGCAGCTGCGGATGACGCGAATCGGTAGCAGATAACACAGGGCGTGCGGCTGGCGCGGAACTGCATTGGTGGGCGCACAGTTCGCGCGACAGAAACGACGACTTGTCGTTCATCAGCAGCTGTCGATCTGCTGCGCGTCTGCTGCATCATTTTCGTGTCCGCGCTTGCTGCATCTTCGTAGGCCTTTCTCCCCATGCTTTGGCAATCATGCCAAGTTTGCTCAAACTTCACCTATGTTGTCATGTGATGCTCCCCATACACTCCAGTCGACACACGGCAGTAGCCGGAGTTACCGAACTTCATCAGCTCGAGGGTTGCGCATGCCGACGAACTCCAAGTATCCCAGAAAACTGTACTCCATATATGCAGAAACGTCCTCTTTAAGTATGCAGTGCACACCAGGTATGCAGAAATGTGCACACCAGGTATGCAAAAGTGTCTACACCAGGTATGCAGAAATATTTTCTCCCATGTAGATTCTTCGTTCTTCCCTCGCGGTTGTGCCGTTCATCAGCAGTAACCAGTCGTACGATACCGCTCCAGCACGACGGATGACGACCGGCTGCATCCATTCTGCCTGCTCCCCCTGCCTATTGACAACCCTTGGTGAGTAGGTCTTCCCCTTATGCTTCTTGACTCCATGTCCCACTCCTATGCCACCAGACATACTCCACACCCCACCTCCCGCCACCCATGTGCTTGTAGTGATCCGCGTACACAGCTACAAGCACATGAGTGAGTGTGAACTTAGGTGATGCCATGTTGTGCCGCACCGTTCGAGGTGGCCGCACAGATGAGTACAACACCAGAATCCTTGACTTGATGATTGCCTTGACCAACCAGCAAATTGCAGGTGAGATGCTGCTTGCTTGGCTTGTCCACCTCATTTCCCACATCATCATTTTCCACTCCTTCCGAAATGGAAACACCAGTCACAGGTACGCCATCAGCTGTACCTCCGCTTCCTTCAAGTGCACTGACTTCATCAGCTACATCAGCTCCAGGTAAGTCTTGTTTTGCATATTCTGCTCCTTCGCCTTCATGTCCTTCAATGGTCGAGAATGCAGGAACCGAATCCACTACGGACCTGTGTCCTCCTCCCCCTGAAGTCCACATTACACAGTGGGGTGAGACTTCATCCGTATCAACATCATGTGCCGGATTCCGTACGACGCATGCTTTGTGTGCCATGCGATATGTGACAGACGCATGTGCAGACTGGCCACTCAAGCGCACTCCAGGTGTGCGGGGATCCGTGCTCCCAGGTGCGTCCATGTGCACACCAGGTGTGCGGAAAAGGGTAACCCCTTCACGATTAACCTGATTCGATGACGCATCATTACGCGAATGTCCAGGAGCATGGGCGGATGTAAGTGCATGCGCATATTGCACCACGAGCACTCCATCCACGTTCTTAGCAAGTCCAATCCGCACATACTCCTCTCCATCTTTCATGGTGACCTCCGCGTCTCCATTAGCAATCGTATTGATGTGCGCTCCCTTTTTCAGCAGCTGACAATAAGAGAGCAGGTTGCTCTTCAGGCCAGGTACGTAAAGGACTTCAGTGTAGCGAACCGTTGTCCCATCAGGTGCCATTGCTCTGATCGTTCCTGTCATC